CTGACCATCAATGAATGAGGGCAAAATATATATATTATAGCACGGCAAATTAATATATATTATAGCTACGTGTGTGACGGGCTTGAAGTCCGGTTTTATAATTTCCATCATCAAATTGCAAATTACAAATGTATTAAAAGCACTGACAATAGTGACATGTTTTTATATTTCGATAAACGAGTACTTAAATTTTTTTTTAAAATATATTTGATTTGTTTAATCGTTATTATATTTGATCAATTTAGCATACACAATGTTATACTGAAAAATATTTTTAGTGAAAAATGCTTAAACAATCCACTTTGTCCCTGGCGCTATGAGATGGGAATTCAACACATTTTATTGTGATTTTCTCAGCATTACCTTTATAATAAGAATGCTAAAACTTATCCGCCATATTGGATTTAGAATAAAGTTATTTCATTATTGTTCCTTATTGTTGTGTCTTTCATAATTAAACGTTTCATTCAATATCCGTGTCATGACAGTACACAGATAATTTTGACACGCCGCCATTTTGGGCCGTCCGTCATATTAGATTTAAAATTTTGAACCATGCACTGTCAACTAAATTAAACCTGTATGCGAAAATAACTGCAAGTGAAATGTTTAAAAAAAATAGCACTTTGTCAACCACTTGCCGAAATAATGAAACCATCTGAGATTTAAAATTAGCGGAGGCGACGTGACGCCAAACAATCTTTAGTACTGAAATAAACTCTTATTTGGCAAACGCAACTGATTTGTCAAATAATGCCACATTGGCATGTCCTCGAGGACGCTGACAAAAAAATATTCTAATGTATGAATGAATTACCTTAATGTCGTGCTGATGATGAGCGAAGTCAAAGATTTATAGTTCACCTACGCCAGGCCCAATTAAAAACCAATGAAAACTATAGCAACGGACTTGTGGATCATGGCGCAATTGTATATCTATTTACAAGAAAATCCTTTGTGCCAGCATTAGGAACATTAATCACACAATGATGATGATAATGGATATTATTATCACTATCAATAATATTCTCATAGATAATTATAGTCCTATCAAATATAATATCTCAATGATGGTAGATAATAAAATATTAACCTAAGCCCTAAATGTACTTACCACCACCGGTATAATCCGGTTTTAGGTAGTCACTATGTACATTGAACATAACTTGCAATACAACACAAATGTTATTGGGAATCACACTGTGTTTTCTTCATCAACACTTGAGTAAACTGTCTTAAAACTATGCGATATGTGTATTAACATATTTTCGTAGCTACTGTTTGAACATGTGGCTCTTGAATATCTTTTACTAGCGATGCGCAAATGTTGTGTTTGCAATATTCGATTCGGCCATATTTTGTGTGAACACAATTAAATATTTTTGAACTGTGATCATCGTTGTCGAACAGCTGCACCGTTAACTGGATCAAGTGTAAAATAAATTACATCATTGTTTTTTGTTTTTAATTTTATATAAAAAGCGGTGATGTTACTTTTACGGTGATTCACACACTTTAATGTTATATTAGAGCAAGCGAAAATATTTTTTTAAAAAGCTCGATATTATAAATATCGGATGAGCTGATCAAAAACTTTTATTATCATGAGTCCATCGATTGTTCCAAAAGTACGTTGGACGCATGGCTATCGTAAGTTTTGTTACCGCCTATTTGTTTCTATTTATATATAGGCTTTTGTAGGATCAACCCTTATGATTACAATAATTAAGTGTAGTAAACTCGTATTTTACGTAAAAAAAAAGTGATTGATATCATACGTGTCGTCGCAACTCTTTCCAGGTAAAATCTTGGATACTACTTGCCCTACAACTTTTACACGAAAGCATTTAGGAAAACCGATCTCTTTGACCATACGAGCATGCTAATCGACCAGACTACATTACAGAAATCAACAAGTTTCCTCTGATACATTCCCTTTTGCACTGAGGATATGTTTCTTAATAGTTGCTACATCATTTTAATTTTGTTGGCGACAAGTTTACACAAATTTATACAGAATATAAAAGACATTTTCTGCTGTTACCTGAGTCTTTTGATTGTCCTAGTGCGAGTTTAATGAAACAATTCTATAATTGTTGTTTATTTTCAAAAATCCAAGTTTATATAGTAGAGTAGAGTGCATGAAGTATTGATTCTAAGAAACACTTTACACGAATCTATAACACTTATTTTCATCATGTTTTATATTCCAGAAATGAGGAAACATGAAAATATTTTGTCATTTATCTTTATGATACTTTTATAAAAAAAATATATAATCACCACGGTCGTGGCAAAAGCATCTTTCCTAATTTCAATTCAGTGAATGCCACCAATAATTTATTGTTTATTTTAAAACGGTAACTGTTTTTTGTGGTAAACACATTTACGAACGATATGTGTTGTTTTCCGCGGGCGTGATGATGTCACGGTTCGATTTGTAATTTGACTCCTCGACGGTCTCGTTGTTCCGGTGTCTTGAATATTCATTATGTTTAAATATACCATTTTGGATTCTCCTATTAAGGAAACTGATTTCAAAACAACGCGTGACTTGTGTTAAAAAAAAACAACAACAACAACAACAAACGCTTAAATTTTATTTTTGCGTATGCTTTGACGTATTTATCTTTCGCAAATACATAATATTAATATGTTGTGCCTGATTAAAAAATATATAATGATTAAATCGAACATCGTTTTCTATATCATAAATAATGATTCTACAAAATTAAAACTTGTTTTAAGATCTACATCTATTTCATACACTGTTATTGTCTGTTTTTCTTTTTGGTCAATCAGCCATTTGTATACTTTGTGTTTTTGCCTTATTTGTTATTGGATCCAAAGTACAAGGACAACTCTGGCCTTAACATATTCGTACTATTGCGAGAAAAAAATAATATTTAACTTATATAATAGTGACGATGGTCAGTTATATTACGCGGACAGTAAACGAAAATAAAGGCATATATCCTTTTTCTGGTCGTGTTTTATATACTATTACTGATCACACTTTCACACTCACACTTTTAAGCTTATTATATTTATAATATTGCCTAAATTAATTATATAAAAAAAAACAAATATTTTATGCTTGTTGTGATGTGCCGTTGTCCGCAAACAGCGCGTTACGGCACGCCCTTCTTATTCGTATCAGAACTTAGAGAATACAACCTTATGCATACATAGAACGATATTCGTTTCAGAGGGCCGTGACGTCATAGCGACGCCATGACAAAAGTGACGTTTTCGCGGGAAAATTAAGATTTTAACTTATATGAATTATATATTTCATGTTATTTAAAAAATATAAATCTTTTCTATACCCCTATTTGTTAGTCAAGTCTTGCTAGTTTCTACACAACAGAACTCATCAGAGTTTATAGTCCAATACGCAATTTATTTCGATGAGGGATTACGGATTCGGAAGATTCGACCTGAAGTAAATAACTAAACAAAAATAATATCAATGTTAACTTATTTAATACTCTGATACTGTTATCTGCGTAAACAATACATTTTTATCTGCAGACCTTGAGCGCTTTATTTATTTGAATCAATAACGTTTTCGAGTCGCAGTATGCGTATATGTTTTCCTTTGTAAGATATCGGTCACATAGTAACACTATATTCGCTATTTGTATTTGCATGTATCGCGCCTAATCGCGACCTAGCTGAATGTTTTTCACGTTGAATATATTTATCGCGAATATACACACACCTGCTTCCACACCCATTAGTTCAAATAATAATCTGTTCATAGATACTCGCCCTGTTTTCTGAAGCTTCAATACGTAGTCAATGAGATGTAAAACTACTCGTGTGACGCACACGATATACTTAATGAGAAGCAGCCCGTACCGGTGCGAATTTAACACTCGCTTCGCTTGATTGAAGGTCGGGACCTCACGATGACCGTTCATCGAGTCCCCTATTTATAGCCGGATCTAATTATAACACTAAGCAAATCATCATTAACCAGCTTTAGGCACTGTCTGTGTGCCTGAGTGCGCACATCTTGAGTCACCAGACCAACTAAAAACTCAGTGTTTAAAGATTCGCTCGTCATCAAAAATACGGGGGCGACGTTTAAAAATATACAAAATTGTTTGCTGAAAGCTTCGTATTAGTATAGTCACGTAAAATGTGCATTTCGTTTTATTTTTATATTTGTCTGTTTCATTTCTCCTCACCGAAAATAAATATAAGAGGGTCTACGTTAACCCTAAAAGATGTACATACGTGACGCACTAAATAAGATACTCACTCGTGAAATTTACCAAAAACCGACAATGTAACATGTAACAAATGGTAAACGTCGAGGAACGAAAACTGGTGTATTAGGACCAAAACGAGTGAAGATATCTTCTCTATCTATCTTTCTATCAAATTGATGTTTCCAAACGTTAATATTGTATGCTTCGAAACGTTATTCGATACTACAAACAATCTAAGTTAGAAACTTTACTTCTTCATAATATTAGTAGAAATTTTAAGGTAGTCCTCTATTAAAAGCTGGAATGCTAAAAGACTCTTAGGTGGATGTTCTTAGGCGGCATAATAATATGTGGATTTTACAAGGATCAACGTTTCATAACAATATGTGTGTTAGGAACCGAATATCTGAGAATTGAGTAAAATAAAATGTAAGGTTGTATTGCACTGTTTAAATCTGAATTACCCACTATCTAATAATTTATTAATGCTAAACGAAGTGGAAGGAATTGTTACAAATAACAAAGTTGATTGTTTTATTTTGGGCAGCTGCATTGCTGTGGAATATCCCTTTATTGAAGACTAAAATAGACTCGAATTAAATTTAATTGGCTCCGGCAAGTGATCGTTTGTGTTATAAACATCTCGGCCGGAGCTCTATCAAATTATTGGCGTGTCCGATTCATATTGCAGCGGCCGCCGATTTTATGCCTCAAGACTTGGTGCTATACGCGGAATTAATATTGAATTCATTTTATAATTGATTTATGTCCAATTTCAATGTTAACTAGTTATAAAGAAATTGTTTACGCAGTGCAACACAATTTCAATAAATGAACAGTTCATCCAAATACTTCTAAATTTTTATATATGTTACAATAATATGACAATGCAACGTAAACATTCTCATAATTACTTTTATAGTTGCAATAATTACGAAAATATTTTGCCTTCTTTATGACTACGCATAAAATATTACAAAATTGACAGTAATAAGCTACGTTACCTAATTTTATCACTTAGTTAATTTTGACTCTTGAACTACATTCGTAATGACAGCAATAATAATTAATAAAATTATAAACTTGGTTGAAAATGGTGGAATTAAATGCATCTTAAACTGTTAAGAGGCATTTAAAAATCAATAAGTGAAACAAAGAAATTGTTTTATTAATTGGCATTAATTTTGATCAGTAAGGGCAAATATATTTGTGAAAACAAGAGTCCAGCGTTGCTATCAATGTAGGTTGTTGTTTAGCGGGGTGGCACGGTTGGCCCGCGTGGCGATGGCGCGATGACGTGTGCGCGCGCGCCGCCATTTTATATAGGACGAACGCGAGCGTAGACCATCAGTCGCCCGGTCGATCGTGCGAGCGATACTCCTCCGCGACACACTTAACGCCACTCAGGCCCTATACTCAGTCACGTTAGAACCATCGTCGTCGCCGGTGCCGTACCGTACCTGTGACTCTGAAAATCTAGTGCATCACATACAATATGATCGACGTAGTGCAACAACAACCCAGAGATGGCTGCCTTTACGAGATCAGACAAAAGGGACAAAGAGATCCCTGTTACGTGGTCGTGCCTAGTACAAACGTACGTTTACTTGATTTTTTTTTTTCGATGATCTTCATTTTATTTGCGGAAAATACGTTCCGTTTGGCATTAGTTTAGTTCGTGACTTCATAAAATTGTCAGACAGCTAGACGTTTTACAATTCGCCTCGCGATATTTGGCTACTGCGTAGTATCTTTCTCACCACTGGACTGAGCTACGGACGTGCTCACTGAGCGTGTAAGCTCTCTCTAATTGTAGGTACCGTTGAATTTTTGATGTATACTCGGTTATATTAATTATTTGTTCATATTTGCCGGTGGTAGCTTTAGGATAGTTTATTTTTTATATCGTTATAAAGACCTTGAGCTTTTAAATGAATTTTACTGAAACATTTAGTAGTTATTTATTTTCATATGATAAACGGAGCAGTAGAATAACATCAACGTTTTTCTTTCTTTACAGGATCTGGTTAAGAGCCACCTGATGTTCGCGGTGCGCGAGGAAGTGGAAGTATTGAAAGAGCGCATCGCCGAACTAATGGAGAGGATAAACCAGTTGGAGGTGGAAAACACGTACCTACGCGCGCACGCGAGCCAGGACACCCTCGCGCAGCTGCCCGCGGCCGGCGCGAAGCCGCCGCCGCAGCCGCAGGGGCCGCAGCCGCCGGTGTCGTAGAACTCATGTTCGGTCATCGCTGAACACATAACGCTGGCCTCAGGGCCCGCCCTCGGCGCGCGACCACGCAGACCAGGGAGTCAGATAAGGCTGTGCTATGTTAATCCGTAGGCTAACAGACGAGCGTGAGTAGACACCGGTCGAGCGCCGAGGGAGGCGCGCGCGCACACACGCGACGCCACCGATTACGCTTCTAAAGTGTACTCCTTCCTTCAGTTATATAATTAGGGTGCAAAACTTCGTGCTACCTGCCACGCTTTTGCTACGCATCTCGGCAACGACTCTTAGCGTTTCCATATGCCTCGTCGATATAATTTTTATTCGGTTTTAACTTAGGTATCGCTATCCAATATATTCCATTTTAAGGTAACTCGTAAGACGTGTGGTTATAATTAACTTTACTGAATAGTTAATATTTCTACGTATTGAACAATGACTGTGTGTTAATTTATTTTCTATAATTTTTATATACATATCTAATTTAAGTTATTTATCAAGTTTTTTTACTGCTGTGTTACATTAAATCTTTAGTGTTGTTCCCGTCAGCCTGAGATTAATGTAATGATCTGTCGTTGCTATAACTCTGAAAGTGTTGTGTGCAGTTTTCGTTTAGTTTTAAACATTTAAATATTATATATGTTACGGTTAACTTTAAATGTTTGAATGTATGTTATCTACAGGTAAAGTTTACGTTACATTATATACAAGTCGTTTATAGATTTAGAATCGTTGCGAGAATGTGATGACCTCGGGCGATGCTGGCTTTAGGAAATTTTGCACGTCGAAACCGTATAAAAAAAAACACTATTTTTATTCCAATCCTATATCAATACTAGAGATAATAGCGATTTAACAATGTATTTTTTTAATAAATAAAATTGTTTGTATATAGTACATGTCGTAATAGAATTGTGAGTCGCAATGATGTACATAATGAAAGAATGTTTTGGAAGGCAACCTATTCCTTAGTCCACCCTTCACCTGGAGGATCTAATCCTCCCGCGTGGGGGGCATATTATCTAAAGTATGTAAGTTAAATATTTGCTGTATTTAAAACTAGCTCCAGTGTTTTATTATCAATTTTACCGAACAAAGTAGCTGGTGATTGATGTATAGGAATGGAACTGATGTATGTGGTTTGAGAGAGAGATATATAGACATCTCACGAGTTGTAAGGAGATCGGCCCAGCGACTCGGGTGTGACCAGGTATATTATACTTGTAGAGTAGTGTTTGTACAACGCTAATCTGTATTAGATGATTATTTAGATCTTCGTAATTATTGTGAATATACAGTACATTACTAACTACGTGCATTACCCTAGATCTAATATGAATTATGATTATTATTGATATGATAGATACTGAAATTGTAAATATGTATACTGTAAACAGAAAATGTCCATTGTAGCTTATGTTGACCAGAATGGTTCCTCGTACCCAATAAATGCAAAAACTACTCGATTTGTGTATTTTTTTTTACCCTTAAAATATGTCGACATATCAGTCAGTAGCCAGTACCGCAGTGCAGCACTATGAGATTTTGAACTGAATTCTAGACTTATTCTTTATTGTAAAACTAGGACTCAAGTTCTAAAGTAAAGTAAAGAACTTAAAGTACTTGCATTAAGGCTGACTTACGCAAACTGACTATGACAGAAGAGAAAACGTCAAATGAGAAGTGGGCAACGGTTTAAACCAGGTACTAGCTAGTTCTCGTTTTATTATAAGACTGGTTAGGTCACTCTAACTTATCATTTCCGTTACAAAACAAAGTGACACGATGAAGCCCAAATTGATCTGTCAAAGTGACGCCCTGAATGATCCGTCAGGCTGACAGAGCTACTATCAGCATATTAATCAAGAGTGGAACAGACCTATGGGACCGGCCAATACTACGCGGTGGAGCCTCGATCCTGCTTTCGTTAACTTATTATGGTAATGGAGTGATTTTAACTAGATCATGAAATAGAAGACATATCCGTAACTATGTACCTAATAAAATGCAATCAATTGAAACGCCATGGAGAGGTCATCATTTCGTTAATATTAGCAAAATTAAAGTACTAATTGATTCATTTTTGATCGAACCTTGTAGGCTTATTTCACTAGTATCATAGAGTGGATAATTATAGTTATTTAAGATACGTGTGCGGAAAGTAAGGTTTTACGAATAAGGGCCAAATTGAAATAAAAATTTTCATTGGCACGAATTCGAAAAACCTTTTACGCTCAAGTTTCTTACAACATTTTTCAATGCTTTTTGCGAGGAAATAAAACAAATATATAGGTTAATAAAACTAAGTATGTATTAAAGGTAAAAATTATTTGTTAAAATTAATAATAATTTTCGTCTCATACATTTTTATTTGGAAATATTCGTTCTAGGCTCCTTGAAATACTTTTGCATCTAAAGTTTGACATATTTTCACCAATGTTTTTTTTTAATTACTTTGGTGCTCGGCAAAAAAAAATTAAAAAAATACTTTTAAGCACGTGTGCAGTAAAGGATTTCAGTACATTTTTATTTAACACTTGTTTAAAGACTCACTTTCGGTATTTACAATGGATTAAAAAAATAGCGTTTTATGAGCAACTGCATTGAAAAATTCTTTACGAATGTAAATATGGTTTAAGGTCTTGATAAAAAAATAACTTCTTAAGTGCTGTTACTTAGGAAATACAGGGAGATGATGTACTGACATCGGTATTACTTATCCTATGGCCTTTTATTACCCTTTAGCCTCAGTGATGTAGTGATGAGAAGGCTAGACTATGGCGCTGGCGCTACTGGAATATCTCCGAAATTATGAATCTGGACAACTTGTTCTTACTTCGTGAGGATCTGATAAACTCATATATATACTTATATGAGTCAAGAGTTCATAGCCATTCGTATATTGATGGACTTTTTATCCACCAATATCATCAGCATCAACTTGTGAAATATCGAACCAGTAATTATTTGGTGGATAATTATTAAATGATAGCACCTCGGTAGCAGTTGTTGATTACCCCGTGCTGAATTCGACAGGCAAATCGCCATCATCACGTCGGAATAAAGGTTAACTACCCAGATCTTCTCTAACGATCACGCGCCGCTGTGTAACAGACTGGCGTACAGGCTAAACTCTTTTAGGAAACATAAAGTGCCCAACACCGTCCATACCGGCACACAGCAGTCACAATATAGAAAATAATCAAGAATCTTTTTCTGCGCCAATATGGATTGTTTTGATTATGTATTGAATTGAACTGCCATGGACCTAGAGATGCCACGGTTGTACATTTTACTTAAAATACCTATTATCGTCATCATGTTTAGAAATAACTAACCCGTCTAGTGACGTGATATATCTTAAAATGTAGCTCATTTTTTACTTATTTAATATCAGGAAATTAAATCTTAAAATGAAGTCAGAATAAAAATTGCGAGGTTGATAATGAGAAAGTATAAAAATAAAACATTAGTTCCCGAAATCAAACTAGATGTCGCTACGGTACTTTCTTGATTTCTCCATTACAACCTTTCCGATTTTCTTTCGTGTATAAAAGTAAATTAGTTTTCAATACTCGATAAACAACTCATATTCTATTTGTACTTTTTCGTATTTGTATTGATATCTAAGTTATCAATACAATAACTTAGATATCAATACAAATAAGTCGCCATCTAGCGAGATAATTTTTAGTGCTATCTTTTTTTTTCTTAAAATACTTCCTCATTATTTTTAAATAGTACCCTAAAAAAATGGTTAACTGCATTACCCCAATTCGATTCAGACCCTATGACCCACAATCACATCTTTGATATATTTTCATATTTACTATTCAAACTATTAAAAGCTTTGGTATTATTGTTTAAATTTTAAAATATCATCTCTGCACAATTTCGCGAGTTTTAACAGCTATTAAAAAATTACGAATCTCCCTCGCCTCCAAATAAAAAGATGCTAAGATATATTTTAATAAAAACTATTTTAAATTATCAATAATGGATGATAATGGATAGACGCGACCTTTAAAAAACATGTGACAGATTAAAATCAATATATGTAAAGTGGACATGATTCTTTCGACAAGTGACTTCAATCAATGTGCTAAACAAATCAAATAATTAACATAAATGGGCCACGGTATAGAAGACTGGTTACTGATATTTAAATCTATACAGAGCCATCTATTGATCTTAGGTGAAACGTCGCGGTAGTATTAACATCTGTCATTGGTAGATGGCTCAAGATGTGAGTCCGATGATTTTATTTGAAAAAGGTTATCTGTAAGATTGAAGTATTTATCAGTAAATGAATTAGTAATCCGCATTCCGCGTAAGGTGTAAACAAATATGTTTTTTATTATTATTAATAAACCGCTCTCTATTGACCGTCAAGACTTGAATCTGCGATGTCCTATTTTAGTTATAAAAATTATTCTTGCTACTCTGAAGTACTTTAAAATGATTTTTAAATATCCCGACAGAGGACAGTTGTATACTTAGTCAAATATTCATATGTGAAATTTGCTACTCAGCGATAGATGGCGTTAACAAGAAGTCATAATAATTACCATAGAGAATTTCAGAAATACTGAAATATTTTTGTTTCTTGCCAAACCTTTGCCAAGATATATTTTCATTTAAAATTTATAACATATTCTCATGAACTTAAAAAATAGAAGTTGTAATGGTAGTTGTATTATCAATAATAACTATTAATGACATATTTGAATGAAGAAATATTAAAAAAACAGAACTAATAAAAAAACGACTCTGTATATTTATTATTTTCTACTTTTGTTCGAATATAACATAGATTATAATCTTAATAAAAAATGCTTATAATCTACTTTGTTTCTGGTACTCTGACATATGCTGACATGCAATCGTTCCGGTTTTTTTCATGTATAAAAGTAAATTATATAGTTTTGAAAACTTCATAAACAACTTATATTCTCTTTGTACTTTTCGTATTTGATTTGATATCTAAGTTTCGAACTTTGCAAAGGGAATTGTTCAGTTTGTATGGGCACTTTGGCTTTGAGTGGACATTATCTACAGTTATAAAAAACATTATTTTTTAATATTTCATATCTTAAGGAAGTTAACTGTTGTAATAATTTCACGGGAAAGTTTAAAATTGTATATATATAAGCATATGTAGTATTCCATTAACGATGTAACGAAAAAGTTATTTTTTGTTAAATACTTTAATTACCTTATCATCATATTAATTTATTTATGTTAGAAATAAGAAACAGAGATGTCTAAATAAAGAAATTGTAGATTTACACATATTTACCTTTAATTTGACAATACAATTCTACAAGCAAAAGACAGTACTTCTAAATACACATATTTATAAGAATATAATTTACATAATCACTTAATAAATATATTACACTGCTCATACAGTTTCTCTTCAGCTGGAGGCTGGCATTTGGGCAGTAAAAAAAGCAGCTACATTTATATAAGTTGGTCACATGATGTACTAATCTTTGAATCTTCCACGGCCTCTCCTGACGTGTGCTCTCCCTCAAACAAGACTATTCTCCTGATTTGTGTTCACCCTCGAGCACAACTCTTCAGCTTGGAGTGGCTGTAGACTCACATTTATGTCTGCACCTATTAACAGAAAGGACTATTTTAAAACACCTATTCAGTACATTTGCACATAACTAATTAATAATAAATTAACATTAAATATTGAACAATTAGTTAATAGTATTAATAGTATATCATCCTGATGAAAGATGTAGCTTCCCAAAGCAAAAGAATTTTTTAAATCAATTTAATTTTAACTGAAGGAACTCCTGTTTAGACAGACCTTCAAAAGTGCACAATGTCTTCCGTCATTCCTTCAATATCGTTAAAATCCATTGTAAGATTTCTTTTTTACAAATGATGCAAAATCTTGTATAAGTTCTGTAGTAAATGTATGAATAGTTTGCATGATAGACAACCATTCAGCCCAATTATTATAATATAAATGAGAATTACACAGTCTACTGGTTTTTGGTACATAAAAGTTAAAATCAACAAACAATTTTACCTGAAGCCATCTGGGAACTGTTAGTTGCTGTGGTGAGTCTCAACCCGGAACAAAACATAATGCTTGTGAATCAGATGCTCTTTTAAAATTCGGTAAGGTAATGTTCTGTATAGGTTCTGGAATATTAGAAGGAACTGTCTCTATCTGCTCGCTGCCAATATGGGTGACAGATGCGATCAGATCCTTGCACCTAAAAGAGTATAAATATATAATTAAATTATTTGTCAACAAAATATTACTTAAACGATATGGTAGCGATATATTAATGATTTACATGTCATAAAGGAAGTTTAATTATAGTAATCATAATAAATAAAAATAACTATAATCCTACCTGTTGTGGGGATATCCAATCAATAATTTCATTTCTAATATGTGCTTCTCTGTCGGATATTGTTTGTAGTAGATGTGATCTAGTACGTAATATAGATCTTTCACAATTTATATAAAGCTGCCGACGATATTCACGTAGGAGACCATTACTAGATTTAAATACATTCATTAAACCAAACAATTCTGAATTACCAATTCTATCTTTCTACATGGATTTACTATAAACAACACGTTAAACGATATTAATACGTTATTTAAGGAATTATTTTATATAAACAATCATTTTAATAAGAATTATCACTCAAACGTATTTGTTGACAAAGTGAAACGGTGCTGCCATATAAAAATCACTAATCGATTAGAAAGTAATCGATAGTTAGTGTAAATTAACTTATATCTAACCGAAAAGGATTATTTGTTATATTTTTAATATATATAATACATGATTTTACAAAAGATCACCTACTGTATATGCATTAATATATATATACTTTCATTTCTATTAAAGTTAAACCTTATCGATTAATCGATACTATAGTAATAGTACTTCAATTACATTTATTGATATGGAAACACAGTGAAACATGTTAACAAAACACATCCGAATCCAAAAAATACTTTTTAAAATAATATTTTTAATGTTTAGTTTCCCATGACGAGAGTATAAAAAATATTTTTTTCAGGTTTAATAATATTTTACTGTTCAGATAGTTTTTACTAATTAGCTTGTCCACGAAAAGCCAAAATTGAACAATTCCCTTTCAGTTTTGTTATATTTATATAAGGAACGGAAATGACTATCAATGTCTATTCGTTCCTGCAAAAATCAATTTTTGCTAGAGTTGCCAATTTAGTGGAGGTGCTTGAGGTCATTAAACCAATGTGATGGGGCAGTATGGTCACAGCCTGTTCCGAAGAGAAAGAAAAGTTATGAAATCTTTAAAAAAATAATAATAAGGACTAGCCAAGGTAAACACATTTAATTAAATACTTGAAAGCTATACCTATTATATGCTCTATAAATAAATACAAAAAATAGAAGAGTTCAAACTTAAGGTTAAGGCTGCATGGTCAGCATATCTTTCTTTGCCTTGAAAGGAAAAGTAAAACGTCATGTTTGACAGCGACATCACGACGTTTATATGTTTTGCTGTTTTTTTGAGTGAGCCAGGGAGAAAGATATAATATTTTCTACACGATTTTAAATTACTTTTTATTTTAATTTGTTTAGCAAACATGAGTTTAAAAGAAATACAGAATAAACTGCTTTTATGGGAAGCTTCTGAAAATCCTTTAGCTCCATTGACAGCGGAACAACGTGAGGCAATTCTAGATTTGGAGGCCCTACTTCGTGACGATTCTGATGATTCGGATAAAGTTTGTATTATTAACTTCGAGATTTCATCGGTGTAAAATTGTAATAGAACCAAGGATTAATAACATAATAATTATCTTATTGTTTCTAGGAAATAACTTCAAATGAATCAACAGTTGATTCTGGTATTCCTCCTGTGGACTCGACTTACGATTTTTTAACCTGGTATGAAAGCTTATGTGATAAAAATATTAAAGCTGATGACTCTCCATATGAAGCATATTATAAGCAACTAGAGGACAGGAGGAATGAATGTGTCTCACTTAATAATCAGGTGAGAAGTGAAATTATAGATGTCATTCTTCTGCATTTTATTATCTGAATACACTTCAGACTTGTTGTTAGTATGTGTTATAAAATATAGTTAATTGATAAGAATTGGCATTATTGAATATGGCTGTATTGCTTATTCCAGATTGGTGATACAATGGCAGACTTAAATAAACTGTCAGAACAATATGAGCTGGTCTCAAACAAAACAAATGCACTGCATAAGATGAGCGAGCAGCTGTTGGCTGATCAGAACAAGTTGTCTAGTATAGGTTAAATGTTTATTTGTTATTATAGCCTATTTTTCTTTATCAAAGTAGAGTCATATTTTATGCTAAAACGTAATTAATAACTTTGGACAAAAATCCATTATAATTAAAGTAATAGATAATTACCACCACACTTTACCAGGGCTAACCTTAGCAGATCAATTCTGCTAAGGTTAGCCCTGGTAAAGTGCTAACCTTAGCAGAATTGATCTGCATAATGGCTTGACAATGATGGCTTGACAATGATGTTTCAATTAATATTTTATGCTTATTATATTTATAATTATGCTTAAAAGAATTATAAAAAAAAAATTAAGCTCATTATCATGTGACTGCAAACAGAGAGTGACATCACTCTCTTCTCACTCATAATACTCCGCTTCTGTCATGACATAGCAATGTCATGCCAGAAGTGGAGTTTCCATGGGAAATTTTGAAATCTAATTTATTTAAGATTTCAATTTATTATATGAATGATTTTTAGGTACATTTCATGTATATATGTATAAAATAAAAAAATATAAGCAAGTGTTTACACCCCTATTACATTAACATTAGTAGAATTGAATGTGGGGCACATTTGAAATTGTATGACACTTGTCTATATTACACTAATGACAATATTTAAATGCATGTCTCATATAAATGATTGCGACTAATGTAGTTTGAAACTTATAATAAATGTGTTATGTATTTTTTTTTCAGGAGATAATATTAAACAGAAGCTTCACTACTTTACACAAGTGGAACATCTATCTCAGCGATTGAACAGTCCCACAATGTCAGTGAATAGTGAATCCTTCTTTATAGTACTTGCTAAAATTGATGAGTGTCTGGAGTATATGAAAACTAATGTGAGTATCTGTAAAGTAAATGCAACCTTAAGGAGTGTAAAATCAGTTCAATCCTAGCAACTGTTATCTAGCTTTGTATGCCTAAATGAAATATGCATATGGGAGGGCAGGATGATAAATAGCTAGCCTATCATAGAAAACTTGAATTGGTGTATTAAAAGTATATTTATTTTTCGCAATAGTCTCCTTGAAGTGCTATGCACTTCATCCATCTATGCTCTAAAGCCTTGATGCCATCCCTGAAGTGGTTTTCTTCAAGCCCTTCAAAATAACTGTCCTCGGCAGACATCACCTCGCTATTATTTTCAAATCTTTGTCCACCTAAAAAATTTTTGAGCTTAGGGAATAGATGAAAGTCAGATGGTGCCAGATCAGGAGAATAAGGAGCTGGGTGTGGTAGCAAATCATAATTTAATTCTTTGAATTTCGCCAGTGCAGTGATGTACGTGTGAACATTATCCGTGCATTATCCTGATGAAAGATGCCAGGCCAGGTCTTTTTTCACAAATACACACTTGTAATTTATCCAGTAGATCAGCATAATATTCGCCATTTATGTTTTGTCCTTTTGGAAGGTAATCAATCATCAATATATCCTTCGATTCCCAAAATACTGACGCCCCGCTGATTTCACGGCTTTTGCTTTCTTTGGAGCTGGGGATCCTTTTTTTCTCATTTTCTCCCAAAACATCCTTCATCTACGAAAAAATCTCTCCCCCTTTTAATCCTTTTAAATGCAAAAACTTTATCACAGCTTGTAGCTCAATTTTATCCATTTTGCAGAAAAAACAAAAGCATGCTTTTTAAAATGTCAATATTTAAAAGAAAAACTATATGATCGATTTGAAATTTGGAACACTGGCAGCTCATGAACCAATGAGTAAAATACTATATCATTATTATACAAAATAGGGGTTGGGCTAGCTATTTATCATCCCGCCTACGTATTTTATAAAATACGTCTGTGATTTTGTATGCATAAATTATAGTTTATGTCACCTGCATAGGAAAAGCATTTAGTATTTTCAAAGATTACCCAAACATTCAAAGTAAGAAACTTTTTAATAAAAAAAAAATATTTTTATCCATTGTTTTCAGAGTGGTTTCAAAGAATCCCATACATACCTAGTGAAGTATCGCCACTTACAAAGCAGAGCGATATCACTGATCAGGTCTTATGTAAATCATGTACTAGATCATGCCACAGAGCAGGTGTTAACCACAAACGAGGAAGACTCCACCGATCAGGAAGCCATGGAAACTGCCTATGCTGTGTACTTTGGAAAGTTCCAAGCTGCAGCACCCAAATTGAGAATGGTTATAAGTGAGGTGGAATCGAGAGCGGAGAATAATGCTGAGTGAGTTGATTAATAGTTTTCATATCAATAGGATATTTTGTTCTAAGTTTTTAAGCATTTTACATTTACTCTGTTTCTTAATATGATAGAATATGGCAATAGTTTTAAATTTTAATGTAATTTTGTCTTTCGTGTTTGGCCCCCTTAATGTATTCAAGAAAAGTTGACATTCATTGCATTTTTTTGTTATTGAAGAAAGTTTATGCGAGTGATTTAACAAAGTGGTAATTATTTCAAGGTCACAATTACTCAAAACTATTAGCTACTATTTAATATCAAATTCACGTTCTTCACTAAAAATCAAAGGATTCGCAAACGGACGACAGGGAACATCATAGGTGGATTATTTATTTATGTAATTCAATGAATGACTAGCGGTAAAATAAAAAAAATGTCAAAAGTAAACTAAGAGTAGACAGCCAATCACGGGGCTTCTTACATAGATTCAGTATAAAAAATGAGATCTATAACATGTTAAATCTATTACTGATGATTTGCTAGCGTAGACATTTTGAAAACGCGGTCGCTATACGTGTCAGGTACGCGTCGCTGCTGAACGAGCTGCAGCGCGAGTACTGCGCGCGGCGCTGGCGCGTGTCCGGCGCCGGCGTGGGCGCGGCGCTGGCGAGTGCCGGCGCCACACACGCGCGCGAGCACGCGGCCCTCGCGCGCGCCGCCACGGGGCTGCTCGCGCACGCCTGCCGCGACGAGTGCGCCCTCTACGCGCACATGTTCCGCACGCCCTCGCCCGCCAGAGAGTCAGTATATCGTACGATAGAACAGAAAACACTTCATTGATTAAACAGTTTTACGAAATAATGTAACAGTTAACGGCCTTGTCGCTTGTAGCGATTTCAGCTAGGAAACCATGGGATGGAGGGAGAGATAACAATTAATGAAGACGGGGGGTATAACATTAGAAAGAAAATATATTAAAATAATCTTAATTCCAAACAGACAACAAAATATGTAGTAAATATATACAAATATATACATGATATATATCTAATAATATACATACACACATGCATATATCTACATGTATTCACTTATGTATATTATGCAATATCAGGAATAGTGATAGTTGGCAGTAGTAAGATATTTCAGTGTGAAAGAGATTTCTTTACGTTAGTTTTGAAAATTTGCAAAGATTTCCCTTGTCTTATAGAAACTGGAAGGGGAATTCAACCTTGGAGTCAGGATAACGTATTCTACCTTCATCTATACATTACAAGAATCTGTGATGTACATTACAAAAATGTAATACTTTTATAGAACCTTGTTTCCTACCTCTGATTGAACTCCGTTTATTTATTATACAGGGAATATCTTCAATCGTTGTGCAACGGTTTGTACGAGATGCTCCGCCCTCACATCATCCACATAAACCATCTCGAGACGCTCGCCGAGCTGTGTGTCATATTGAGGGTTGAGGTTATCGAGGAACAAGTCAAGAATGACCGTGAGTTGTCTTTAAAATAAACTTGTATACAAATGCCGTAGAATTAATTTAGCCCATTCTACATAAACACAAGCTTAAGATGGTCCCGAATGTGTATTTGGGGGTAAGGATGATCTTGTAACAAATCGTTCGTAAAAATTAAACAGTTGGAGTAAAGTTCTTTGTCCTAATAGAATTCCTTTGAAATCTTAAAAATTGCTCCGAAGAACCACGCCATTGCCTTATTTTTTTAATAAATCGCATAAGTCCGGTTTCTTTCCTATGCGATGGAATTTTTTTTTATAATTCCTATCTTCAAATCTCATAAAACATAGTGTTGTTAATATCGTCGGATAAGTATTTTGTCCAATGTAGCTAAGATGTTTAAGTCTTTGTGTGGACGCAAGTCTTTATTAGTATTTGATTACATTTATGTCTAATAAGCTATTCGGTTTTATCAAGAAAAGAACCACATTAAGTAATCTGGTAATTTTTTTGTCAAATGGTTTTCTTCTCAGGGTGCCTTAGGGCTCGCATTTGGGTTCGCTTTTCTATGTTTTCATAAATTATATGATGCGTCCCTTGGCCTGTCAATTTCTTTTGAACGCGCAGACGATTTAATTTTTTTTACTGTATCAAGAACTAACCTATGTGTATGGCACTCCGATACAACCTTGATATGTTATCTAACTGGTGCTCTATCGATGTGATGAATCCTACATTATATTGTTGACTTGCAGAATTTTAAGTAAGACTGCTTTTCATAAAAAAACTTTGATTATTGCCTCACTACTTACACATTTCCAAGTGAAAATCTTAGGTAATGTGTTGTTCCTTGATTCAAGTGTAAACATAAGCTTGATGGAATATCGCTGTCTAATTTGGTCACAATATTATACTGTACTCGTAGATACCTCGGAGAGAGTGGAAAGATAATGTTTAAATCACTTCCAATGTTTGATGTTTAATAATGGTACTCCCTAGCCTGGAACATTTTACTATAACGTAAGGATTCAGATTCCGTTTAGAGTATTATAATACTGTCTCTCTAACTCGAGTATTTTTGAGTCATTATCATCGTCAGCCCGACTGTAGGGGTTCAGGCCTTCCTTATGGTCAAGGACTATGGGCCATAACCCTTCACGCTGGCTCAATGCGGAACGGAGGGTATTAAAGTCCTGCAAATGCAACCGGGACCACCGTCGACACGCCTTCCGAAGCACTATCGACGCTTGTGGATTTTTTTTCTCATCCACTACAATGTAACTACTGGCGGTGTTAAACGTGGTACCGACCACCCCCCCCCAGCCCACCTGCGCGCGCTGGGCCGGTGCGCGCGCGCGCTGCTGCAGGACGCGCAGGAGCGGCTCGTGTTCCGCGCGCACGTGCACCTGCGCGCCGACGTGCTGCACTACCGCGCCGCGCCCGGCGACCTGGCCTACCCCCACAAGCTGCTCATGATGGAGGTAGCGTATGGCACTGGCCGGCACTGGCCGACCGATTGTAGCCGTCCCGCACCGTCTCATTGTAACCCTCGTGCCGCCAGCAAATCGCGCAGTCGCTCCGAGAGCAGAGCCCCAGCGGGGCGGGCGGGGGCGGGGGCGGCGCGTCCCCCGCGGACCTGCACGGCATGTGGTACCCCGCCGTGCGCCGGACGCTGGCCGCGCTCTCGAGGCTCTACAGGTATCTTATTTCCATCCATCCTGCAAGTTTATATCGGTAACGTGACAGCGCAAGCTAGCACGGCCTGATCCTACTCAAGTGTTCAATTAATATGTACGGTAATTATCAATTTGTGAAAATTAAGTCTAAAATATATTAATATATATATGGTGCACAGTTCTCTAGGACATGGGACAAAATATGCCATAAAAATAGTATAGTTTATTTTAGGTGTTGGAATTACGCAAAGAGTACAGTAGTGCTACAGCTCCGATCGCAAAATTCACAATTAATTTGCGCTTAGACACAAGCATATTATAAGCAAAATTACTAGTGATGAACAGTAGATTAAATAGAAAAATACAATTATACATATACATAAATTACGTGATTTTATAATTATCACAAAAAAGTCATTACGTTCATCGAATAGCAGAGCCGTGTAATATACAACGTTGTGTGTTTTAATATTATATTCGGGTGAGAGAATACAAATATTGTAATTGGCGTTTTGTAAAAGTTCAGATATTCTTTTTGGGTACATAATTTGCTTTGTATCAGTTTGTTTTAAATACCTGTGTCACCCATTTTTTCACCATGTTTGGTATATTTTACATCATATACTTGCATATAATGTAACACCTAGTCGTATTTTTACATTAACCTACTTCGTAAAATATCTTAATAATAGAAATGTCCAACATGTATTAATTTTTGTAACATTCATATGGCCTCTCGCTTCTTTTTCAGATGTTTTCACTTTGCTTTGTGATATTGCTTTAACTTAAACCACAGTATGTCAATGTACATGAATTTTTTTTGGGCGCAGTTCTATACAAATTCTGGCCATGTCATTTTTCACTTACCAAATACTCTTCATGAAAAAGCTTAAAAAATCTACTTAGTCCATGGCACTCTGAGATGGAACTCGAACCCATGAAACCCATGACCTTGCGCAATCCGTGCGACTGCTCTCGCCCGGTCGATGAATATATTTCAACATAGCACCGTGAACGCGAAATTGATCAAATATAATACCTAATTACCAAATACTGTTTGACTATATAGATAAGGTAGATCGATTTAGTCTGTCTGACAGTTTGTAGTAAAATATTAGGTACGTATTTTTTTTTACTTCAATTTAACAAAAAATAGCTTAGATAACAGGCATTAAAGTTAAGGAGTTTTGTAGAAAATTTACAAAAAACGTGACGTCATGTGCCATTTTAACTTAACGTATCGCCGTAATTTAATGATAACGCAAAAAATCAAAAAACACGTGTTTAATATTTTTCAACAATCCTCCTGACGAACAAACGAAAAAAGAAAATGTCGTTATCCCTATTCTGTTTTTATAACATGGTAACACCAGCGACATCGAGGCATTCTGCCACGTCATCCTTAAAAAACGACGTCAGTAAATTTCTCGTTGGCAACTTTTACAAATCACGAATGATATTATCGGAATGTGCTACTATCTCAAACTACTTAGTGGAACTGACTTTGAGGTATTTAATTTTATGTGTTAAGCTAGCCACATATGGTGTTACAATACCAAACATTTCTGACATGTGTTTATTACCTTATATCATTAAGTACTAAACATTTTACTTGTTTTAATCTGTTTTTGACACCAGGTGTCTAGAGAAAAAAGTGTTCCAAGGTCTCGCCCAAGAAGCCATATCGCTATGCGTTCAAAGTATCGACAGCGCGGCCAAACAAATATCAGCGAGCAAAACCAACATAGACGGTGAACTGTTCCAGATCAAACATCTCCTCATACTTAGAGAACAGATAGCTCCGTTCCAAGTGGATTTTGTAGTCAAAGAAACCACTTTGGACTTCAGCAATGTGAAGAATGCCGCTTACGGCTTGATACAGAAGCCGAGGCAGATATTCTCGTTGAACAGCAATAACGCTCTGTTGGAATTCCTGCTGGAGGGCACGCCGATGGTCAGAGAACATCTCCTGGACTCCAGGAAGGAAGTGGACAGGCAACTCAAGAGTTGCTGTGAGACATTCATAAAGGATGCTACTGAAATACTTGCCGGGCCATTGATATCATTTTTAGAAAAGGTGATTGTTTTTATTTGTACTTAATTTCGTGTATCATGCTCGTGAACAAGTGCTGCTTGCGGAAACGAATATGCTCTAGATCACTGGTTACCGAAAATTAATTGGGCTCCGACACATCTAACAACACTTCCCAATTTTGGGAGCCGTCTCTCTAGTGGGCTCCATTATATGATAATGTTTGTTAGTTCATAACAGTAGTTAAACTTGAAGCAAGTCTGTAAATACAATCTATAAGTTCACAATAACTCTCTACATTCTTTTGCTCGGGTCTAGTTATTTTATTAGTAACGTGACCGGCCGTTGCGAAAGTTGCTTAAAATCGCATGAAAGAACGCGCTCACTATCTCCATCGAGCTTCTCCAACGATGAGAGTTAATGTCGAATCATTCGTATAAAGTCAAAATAATCTTTAGTCAAATAGACTTCTTAAAATTACTTTTGAATCGTCCAACATTATTTTCACTACCACTCGTTCAGGACGTCTTTTGGCGGATAAGAAGAACGAGCAAGAAACTCATCAGCTCTAATAGGAGTAATGACATTCACAAAAACCATGTCATTACCAGATTAACACATTATAAATAGAGAGAAAAGAAGCTATGGTCTTATAATGATGACATAATAATTTAATAATAATGGAAACAAGATAATTTTTGAGATATAATGAGTCTAGAATCCAGTTACTTTTGCTTGGGACCTTATTGTAGAAGCACACACTAAGACCCCTGAGTAACGTATTAACTTTTTGCAGTCTAGTGACAGGGACCATTAATTTATTTTTATTTCTTGTACATATTATAATTGTGTATATCACTTTTTATAGAAAACAAACTAATATTTTTACGAACGTAAATTACGTTTTCGTATATGTATTGAGAAACAATAGTCATTATTTATGTCTATTTCCATAAATTTGTCTCTTGAAGAGTTCCTAATAGCCCTCTTTTAATTTTACACAAAAGTGAAATGTCATCTGCAAATTAAAGAATTTCATGATCATCCCTTACGAAATAAGGCAAGTCATTTATGTAAATTAAAAACAAGAAAAAACCAAGTATTGAGCCCTGCGGAACACCCATCTTAACTTTTGATCTAGGGGATTTTTTGCCATTGATATCAACCCTCTGCAGTCTGTCAGTCAAGTATGAGACAATAAAATCCAATGAATTATCTTTAAATTCATAATAACGAAGTTTCCTAATCAATGTTTCATGAAAAACATAATCTTATATTTTAGATAGGTCACAGAAAACACCTAACGCATCATGTGAATCCTGCCAGGCATTCAAAATTTCTTGTATTAACTCGACACCAGCTTCGGTTGTTGAGCGACCCCTTGTTAAACGAAATTGTTGTCGATTCATAAGGTTATTCTTGCAAAAGAATGTTTATATTTTATCCAGTATATATTTTTTTAAATCTTACTAGACGTAGGTAGCACGAATATAGGTCTAAAGTTAGTAGGGTCAGATGTGCTATCCGATTTATGTAAAGGAATAATTTTACTATATTTCATGAGCTCAGAAAAAATACCACAATCAGTAAATACATTCATTAAATATATAAGCTAGGAATGCAGCTACTGTCTCAATTACTGATTTGGAAACCTCAATGGAATCACCCCATAAATTATATTCATATAATTTCATGTATATCTATATAAAATTTTGAAAAAATATATATTTTTTCACGCGCACTTTTAATTATTTTAAAATTAACGCTAACGTAATCTACCACTAGTTCCAACTTTGGGAGTCTTGTCTCCGAAGAACTGGCGAAACAAACTCCGACAAGAAAAAGTGAATTGCTCCCTTTGATTTAATATTGGTCCTTACATATGAAATTGGTGTTTGGTATGGGAGGAACAAAAAGTCTAATATTTATTTAATCACAGTATAAACCATTGTTATCTTTGCACTTTTGCCATCTCATGGGTAGTTCTTTGATTCTTTTACTAAAAAAAACCATTCGGACGGGACGTAAATAACACGATATTTCAAGTATTCCATTTTTTATACCGGGTAAACAGGAAACAGAAACAGGATAAACAGAAAAAAAAACAAATGAATGCCGCCTAACGAAACACAATTACACGTGTAAACGGCTGTATAAATTTGAATTTGGAATTCCCAACCGAGGAGGAGAAATTTGTGATTAAAGTGGCCAGTACGACAAAACGCCAATTTCATATGTAAGGATGTAATATTTACAGAATGAACTAACTGTATGTATTGGTTAGGCGCAGGCTGCGGGGGCGGGGGCGGACGCGGCGGGGGCGGCGGGCGCGGTGGGCGCGGCCACGCGGGCCGTGCGCGCGCACCTGGCCGCGCTGCAGCGCTCCATGCAGCTGTACCTGCACAACAAGGAGACCGAGTGCATCCTGTTCAGGCCCATACGGGTGAGTAGCGCGCGCACCTGGCCGCGCTGCAGCGCTCCATGCAGCTGTACCTGCACAACAAGGAGACCGAGTGCATCCTGTTCAGGCCCATACGGGTGAGTAGCGCGCGCTGTGCATACTCGCTCGCCTCACCACTGGCGTCACAGAATACGAGATACGAAATACATATTTTATCTTCTATCTAAAATACTTTTTTTAGGAGGGAAATCAAAATTATTTATTCAGTCTAGGCTGTTACAAGCACTTGTGAAAGTCGAGAGCTACGCCATCGGTTCGTAAATCTACGGAGAGAGATCTTATACCGAGAAGAACCGGCAAGAAACTCGGCAAATACTGCTTTTTTCTCCCTGTTTTATTTCATACAGAGCGTCAAGATTGACAAATGACTTCATTAAAATATGAAGTCACTTTCTATTACAATATTAGAAAATATAAGAGAAAAACAATATTTTCTTCAATCGAATCACGTGTGTAGCCAAAGAAGCTCACCGATAAACAATTTAATATACATGACAAATGAGCCATATTTAACACCAAGCAGTTTTGTCGTTTAAATATTCAACAGTATAATATCCTCTACTGAGTAGACAATTCTTAATATGGGTTTTAAACTTAGGCAATGGTAAATTTAAAATTTCCATAGGAATTTTGTTATAGTAGTGTATACCTCAACCCATAAATGATGATAGTACCTTCTTTAACCTGCATGACGGCAAAACAAGTTTATCTTTGTTTCTAGTATTCAAATTGTGTATATGACTATGTTTAGTGTAATTGTTAATATTGTTTCTAACATAAAATATACAGTTGTATATGAATTGGGAGGCCACTGTTAATATCCCAATTTCTTTAAATTTATTTCTAAGCGATGTTCTTGAACCCAATTGATAAATGGCCCTTACTGCTCTTTTTTTGTAAAATAAATATAGACTCTATATCTGCAGCCATACCCCACATCAGAATGCCATATGACATAACGCTATGGAAATAACTAAAGTGTACTGTCCTAGCGGTATCTGTAAGTTGCCTATTTTTTTTTATTGCAAAGGCAGCTGAGCTTAGTTTTCCTGCCAATAATGAAATGTGAGGATGCCATTGCAATTTAGAATCCAGCGTTACACCCAAGAAGATTGTTGAATCAACCAAATCAAGCTTTTCATCATTAAGTTTAATTTCTGTTAGTTCAGCTTTTACTTTAGGTACATAAACTTTAAACATTTCGTTTTTTAGCATTTAACTGTAGATTATTTACAGTAAACCAGGTCATAATCTGTGACAGAGCATTGTTTACATCGTAAAATTATTTTTATAACTATCAATATTAAATATTAAAGAAGTATCATCTGTAACAATACTATATCGCATAAAGTTTCGGCAAAATATGGCAAATCATTTATGTAAGTTAGAAACAGAAAGGGACCCAGAATAGATCCCTGGGGCACCCCCATTTTTACTTGTGAACCAGATGATCTCAAACCGTTTATATCGATAGTTTGAGTTCTGAAACTGAGGTACGACAATATTAGTTGTAGGGCAGTCTTTGATACTGTTGAAACTAGCAGTGTCATATAAACATCGGGTCGGCGAGAAAGGGACAATCACTGGGGAAGAAAGGCTCGGGTAGCTTTTTCGTAATACCTTAAATTTACCGGCAGGGCCGAGGCCAACCTACAATATTCATGGTAAGACCTAGAACATTCTAGATGTGATACCGACTCTACCGTCCCGACATTCTTCAGTGAACAAGCGATCTGAAAGCGAAAGCGTTCAGAAGCGAAAACTAGAGCAGTGAATGGTGTAATAGTGTTGTAAAGTATTATTAGTGACGTGAAATAGTGAAGTGTGAATTTTGTAGCTGGATTGTTTTGTAATTTTACTGAACCCTAACACGTGACATTTTGGTGGCAGAAGTGTGAGATAAAAAAATGCCTATTACACCACATGACGACGTAGTAGGCGTTTCACCTAGGAGCCAACGCCAGCAAGAAGCGACTGCGACCACCGCGGCCGCTTCGCCAGACCTTGCGGCATTGATGGCTTTGATGTAGGTACAGGCTCGCCGCCAAGAGGAACAGTCTCGTCTGCTCCAGGAACAGTTGCGACGTGACAAGGACGAGCGAAAAGAAAAGATTCGGCAGTTCCGTTTCATACTAACGCACACTCACTTCGCCACAAGTCGCGCCATTCATTTTAAAAACCAAGTGTCCACTATGTGCAATAAAATATTATTCTTATACTATAACAACACCTGTTTGCCGAGCTCTGCCCCTGTGGAGCGACTCTTTTGGGGGTATGATCATGAGGTCTTAACGAGGGAAAGATATTTGAAGAGCTGGTTTTACTTAAGTGTAACTTGAAATTTAAATAATTGTTCTAGTGATCTATAATTAAATAACATAAATTGAAATGTCATTTTCTTACAAAAAAATAAATATTGTAAAGTATTTATAAGATACCTATTTTGTATCTAGTATTTCAAAAAACTTATCTCGATAGTATTTTGTAACTGGTATTTAAAATACTTAATTTAAAAGTATTGAGTACATCGTATTTCACGCGTCACACAGGCGATTCACGGGGACAGCCCAAAGACCACTTCCCATACCACATCCTGACAGAACGAGGATGCGTATTGCCCACTTAGCGCGTAAACCAATCAGACTTTCCCTGTTGAAGGACCGGAGATTAGACGTGTGCGCCGCGCCGCGCCGATGACCGACGCCGCCGATCATGACACGCCGCCGCTGACCGGTTAGAAAGACCGGCGTAGACGGCGCGGGTCGGCGCGAACTGCGAGTAACATTCGGTCACTCGGTTGCTAAGCAACGTAGTGCATCCGCCTCCCGCCCGCGGGGGCGGCGACTTATAAGCTTCGTTTCGTATTCCGTCCGTAATTACGTATCTAGTTAGACGTTAGTTTTTAAAAATGTCGTCGGAAAATAATAAAATATTAATGAATACAAAAGTAAAATCTCTGAACGTTAATGTGTTACAATCATCAACGAAAAGTAGTTTTTGTTGGAAGAAATTTGGCCCATTAGTGATGGAGTTAAATGGAAAAAAACAAATAGTAGCACCAAATCAAGTATTTTGTGTAGTTTGTTTGGATAATGCTAAACAAAATAACGACGAAGATGTGTTCGGGAGGTAAGTTTTTTTTTTCAGTAATCAGGCATAAGCCTTTCAAGTATTTCCTCTTTGATTACAGCTGTCCATAATCAAATATACTATTTATTCTAAATTCAGGTAGGTAGTCTTTGATTTCTGTCTTTCTGAAATCGGAATATTATATTATATATATATAGTACTGTTTTTAAAGTTCAGTACACAAAAGGTGACAACAAAGCGCTTTTACTAAGCGTCCGTCCGCCTGTCTGTCTATATCTTTTGGATTATATCGCTATCTTTGAACACTCATCGTCATCGTAACCCTTATTAATGACGTACCTACCTATTTACGTAGCCAATAGAAATGTTACTGTATGTGTAATTTATTTTGGTGGAATGATTTTAAATTAGGAAAACAAGGTAACAAAGTTGTTTTTGTTTTTGCTGTATGAAAAACAGTAGGTAGGTACTGGTAGGTAGGTAGGTAATATTAAAACCGCCGAGGTGCGAGTTGGACACGCGCACGAAGGGTCCGACCCATTATCTATAAAAATGCGCAAAAAAATGAGGGTTTATTGAATTTATTATTGAATGGCAGCCTCTATAAGTATTTATTGTATTCTGTTTTAATTACTTGTTGTAATAATGGCAACAAAAATACATCATGTGTAAATTTTCTATCGCGGTTCATGAGATACAGCTTGGTGACAGACGTAAAGACATACAGACGGACAGCAGTCTTAGTAATAGGGTCCCGTTTTACACTTTTGGTTCGGAAACGCAATTAAGTGCGAGTTAAATTCGCACATCGAGGGTTTCTTCCTACCGCCGGTACCGTAATTGACTTTATTACATCCCCAAAGTTTCGGGGAACGGATAATAAGTCAGGGAAAACCAATAAAAACTAAGCACAATCTTATAGCGCACATATTATAAAGCAATGATGTATGCAGTCGTTCAGTATGCGGTTCTAGGACAGTCATAAAAGTTTGTCTCCAATATCTAAATAACCTATTTATTTCCAGCGTGACAGTGAAATCGTACAGCACGAAAGTAAGCACTGGCAATCTCATAAGGCATCTGAAAGACGAACATCAATTATCAGAACGAAAGACGAACATAACGCATTGATAGACTTTTTGATGAAGTATAATGTTATCCTTACTGCAGAAGATCTTCCGACGCGAACTACAATATCTAGAAATGCTGTAGATGACGTTTATGAATGTATGATGGCGCACATAAAAACATCGCTAAAGACGTCAATAACTAGTCATGCCGCAATCACTACAGATTTGTGGAGCGATTGCTATAAACGGAACAATTATATTACTATGACTCTACATTTTATAAACGAATTATTTGCACTCGAAAATGTAACCCTTGTGATTGAACAGATTGAAGGACCAAAAACAGCTGAGAAGATATCTGCTTTTGTACAAAAAACACTACAAAAATTTGAGCTACAAAATAAATACATATTCCTTGTATCAGACGCGGGATCAAATGTAAAGAAAGCAGCATTATTATTGTCAGAGCAAATGATTTGTGAAAATCACTTGTGTTTGGGGCATGGGCTACATAATCTTGTAGTTGCTGATGGTATCAATAATACCCCTAATATAAATAATCTAGTAGTCAAGTGTAAGAGTATTGTCAAAGCATTGAGATTCAAATTACCAGAACTAGCGGTATTAGCTGATCAAGAACAAAGGAAAATTTTAAACAATGTAGAAGATGTTGGACAAGTGATTGATAATGATGAAGTCATGGAACTAGAATTGGAAGGAATTGAAAATGATAATGAGTTTGTGGGTGTATCTGAACAAAATAAAGCAACGGGTCAATTACCAAACAGTGTAGTGTCAATAAAAAATTCCATACCAACACGATGGCACAGCACATTGATAATGCTGGAAAGTTTGTACAATAAGTATAATCAAGTTCCTATCAACCAACTGCTTGAAAAAGCTCACAAGGAAGATTTAAAGGTCACCGAAAGTGAATGGCTGTTAATGAAGCATCTCATTGACTTTTTAGCAAAGTTCAGAGAGTGTGTTACAATTATGAGTGCGCAAAAATCTTGCACAATTAATATAGCACTGGTTTACAAGATGGAGTTGGCAGAAATCACGAATTCACTGAACGATAACGAACCCCTTGAAATATTTAGATTGAAAAAAAAATATGAAGGCGAAGTTAGACCATCGACTGCCAACCAATGATTTAACAGTGGCTGCAACATTACTAGACTGTAGATTTCAAGGTATTGACGAAGTCGACAAGTACTTAAAGCTACATGGACTAGATCGGGTTTCATTTTTAGCTAGCTACACACGTCGTGTTGTAAAAAAAGAAGATTTATGTAACAATATACCAACACCATCATCTCATGCAACGCTGACGAACACTACTCAGATAGAATGTTCTTCGTCTGCTCGACTCTTACAGCTTTCCTCAAAATATAGTCATGGTACTGGTTCTTCAGAATCTGACGAACAAATCGATGATTCTATCGAAAAAGAATGTTGGAAATATTTTGCTGGGTGTGATCCACGGGACTATTCTACGAGCGATATAGACATACTACAATACTGGAAAAATCGCCAAGCCACTTACCCTTATTTGTCTACTCTAGCTAAAGGGGTTTTATGTGTACCCGCTACGACCACACCTAGTGAACGGGTATTTTCTGTCGCTGGCCTTACTGTAACGGCTAAACGATCGCGTCTAACGGGGAGCAATATTAATAAAATAATATTTATACATGACAACTATGAAAAATGTAAAATGGCTGTTTAAGGTACGAATTCGTACATTGTGACTACATTACATAATTAAGCCATATTACATTGTTACTTAAAAAGTATTATTAGTTTTAAGCAGATCTTATATTTGTTATATCAATAAAGTCATTCTGATTTGATAAGCTTTTTATTTTCCATAATTTGACATAACGACGCCGTTTACGCCGCCATTTACGCCGCCGCTGCTGATTTTTTACCTCCACGCCGCCGCCGAAGATTTCGGCATCGGCGCACATGCCTACCGGAGATGCGCCACTGAGCAATCTCCAGTCCTTACCCGTCCGGTTTGGAAGACCTACTTAGGCCGAGCCTCTAGTAGAAACCATTCTCCCCTCTTCGTAGGTCGCAGGGACGTCGGTGTCCAGCCCAGTCCCACTCAGTACATTAAATACTGACCAAGGCAAAAAGTCAAAATTCGAATAGCAATATCACACATTTACACCTATTTTCACTAACCTAGAACAACGCATATCTTAAATAACAAACGTCTAATATTACAAATAGCCTAAGCAGATTAGTTTTATTTCAAATAAATATTTTCTTCTAATATCCCTTGACATATTTATGACTTCTCATATACGCAAATGCATAGCGCAAAGCGCCGCATAACGAATATCATAACTTTAGACATTGCTTAATTTCGTTAGGTGGTTCCTACTAGTTAATGGTGAAATGCATTTTACCTTAGGCGATTCCTAAATATTTAGGCGTCAGATTTGGGTGACTCTTAAGTATAGTGAATACGGACATTAGCCACCGATTTTGATGATGCCCCCTATGCAGTATTTATTTACTCATTTATACCTTTGATATGAGTAACATTTCGTTTAAGCCGGGCCTGGGCTTTTTTTAGCATAAGCGCTTAGTCTTATTTGTGCTACGAGATTGAATTAATTTTACATCTGAAATTAACATAAAACATAAAGAGTAAAAAAAAGTTCTCGAAACCAAACTAGATGTCGCAACGGTACTTTCTTGATCTCTCCATGACAACATTTCGGGTTTTCTTACATGTATAAAATCAACTTTTGATAGAGTCGCCATCTAGTGAGGTGCTCTTTAAGTGTTTTTTTTTTTCTTAAAATTCTTCCTCATTATTTTATGTATTGATAAATATATTTAATAGAAAATTCTTAATGTTTACTAGTAGTATAAGAAATAACTGCTCGAGAAAGTCGTCAGTTTTCTCGAGTCTCGGGTACCTCAATGGTTAGGTTAGGTTAGGTTACAAACGGTAGTGGGTCAAATCCCATCTTGGTGTGACTGCGACCCCTGATATTTTAGGCATTATTCATTACAGATAAAAAATTACTAACTACAACTGTCTTGCCATTAACTCTTTGAAATAATCCAAATATATATTATGTATTACAGAACAACGTAGTCGGTTACTTCGCTCAGATGGGCCAGTTGCTCGCTAACGCTGGCTACTCGTACGAAGACACACTGATTGTGGCGTGTCCCACGCCCGAGCAAGTGTCAGTATTCATATCGTCAGCCAGCCTCATCAGTCACACAGAACCAGTGTTGCCATATGGGATCAAGAGAAAAACTAGTACTATCGAAAAGCCCAGTGTTGTCAGCGAACAAGAAAAAGAAAACCCACCCATTGAAAACGTTGAAGAAGCTGTCGATGTTTAGATGGCTCCTATTATTAAAACATGTATATCAACTACTATGGCTCACCGATGTATTCGTATAAAAAAATCGTGGCATATTCCGACCAAATCAAGTACCACACTTGGCCTACTACACTGTATATTACATCTTTTATGGTTATTATTACAAGATTAAAAATATTACAGAGAATATAAATATTACACGGTTATATTTTAATTACGATAACAGCATGTTGTTGATTTCAATTAAATGTTTGCAGGAACTAACAATATATATATTTCAATTACTGTGATACGTATTGATGCGTTAAGCGTTGCACGGGTATGCATGAGACAGAACAGGAAATTATAAAAAAATACTTAATTATTTAAAAAGAAACTAATTTGTAATAATAAAATTTTCTTATTTATGTCAAAACAAAATCTACAAATTACGCTCGACGCACATACATATTATTAGGTCAACGGGTCTACCGCGTAACTACACTTACGTCGCTTTGATACATCGATGGAATAAAATCTTTGACCATAAATTCTTCAGATATAAAAAGATTATAACTAATTTCCTTAAAGACCAGGTATCTTCACCTACGAAATAATCCTTTTTTTTGGATAGAAGTCATTGGATAGAATAATTTAGTTTTTTTTTTTTGCTGGGACTGTATAGACCGTCCTCTATTATGGATCATGCTGTGTACACTAATTTTGGATTATTGTCTAGACTAAGTTATCGTATATATTTGTCGAAGTCATGTGTTGACTGTAATATGTAAGTTTACCTAATTTAAATAAATAAAATGCACTTAAAAGTCTTATACTATTGTATTGAACATTGAGTGCATTTGATTAAATCCGATGTATTGAACGTACACACTATCTAACAATACAATTTTAAACGTGAAGTGCATTTGTGTCAATCTAATATGAAGAATCGTGACGTAAGTATAGTTACACGATAGATACGCTGGTCTCCGCAAACGAATATTTATGACGAGCATTATTAGTTGAGGTTTATTGCATTTAATAAGTAACATTTAGTTGAATTGATATGTTAAGTTTCCTTGTTATATTTAATTAAATGTATGAAATCACAATATTTATAAATCTATATAATTTTGTTCACTTTATGTGTAAATAACTTGTTTGCAAGATATAATTATTTTTAATCTAAAGAGAATAATTTGTTAATGTATTCATAAGTTATAATGCACTATGCCATCCTCCCCTTATTATTACTGAATAAAATTTTAATAAATATTCAGCCTAACATGCTTTCTTTTATTAAGTATCACCTTTTAATTAGGTCTGGTGTTAGTTTCTGAGATGAAATAACTTATTTGGAATATCTTAAGAGTTATTATTCGTTTATAAGTGGATATTATTACAAATGGCATTAAATGACTTTATGGTAACCGAGTTACAGTTATGTATCTTATTTAGCCCTAAAGGTGAATATTTCAAATTACTTCAAAATATAATCTTAAAAGCTAATATGCAAATTATAGAACAAAATATTAGCTAGTAGGTAAAAGTTGTCTTCTTCGATTTTGAAATGAATTACTTATTCCATCTCATCCCTTATTTTTATCAGTTACGAAAAAGGACAAATAGCCAAGATACGTAGTTTCGGAGATAAACATTATTTTTGAAGAATGGTAATGACGGATATAAAAGAAGCGGAAGTCCGGTTTCCGCGGAATCACCCGGATTCGGCTAGAGAGTTCTGCAGGCCTGTGATTCTGTAAAATTACAAACCCGAATTCGAATTCACTCAGGTGTCCGAATTGAATTCAAAAAGCGGCATCCGCTCAACCTTGAATTGGTTCGTGGCATAAGTGAGTTTCGAATGACGTAGGAATAGAATATTTGAGACACGTATATTCAATAAATGTTCTTTTGTATTTTTATACAAAAAATGGAATCAATAGGATTTTTACAGAATCGCAGGGCTCGTCATCGTTTAGTCCCTAATTTATCAGTCTGAGATATAGCGGCGATAAATGGCTAAATAAGTACTTTTAAAAATAATTGTTTGATATTTTAAAAAAACCGAAATTCTATCAGTACTTTCGTACGTAAAGTGGAGTTTCTTCATTCTCAATTAAACATCGATATATTTACGTAAATGAATGTCTCATGTGGACGAGTGAACCTACAGTTATCATTTTTACAAGTCGTGTAGTGGGTTTGATGCCACATTGAAACATTGACTAGAAGAAGCGAATTTGCTCGAATGTAACCAGAATAAGCGCAAAACGTTCATATACATGCACACAAAATGACGGTATCTCGTTTCACCGGCATATCATGCGCAAATAAATATTTATTATGTTTATATTTATAATTTACTCTTCCCGACCCCTCGACGATTCGAGGGGTGGGAGGATTCCCCCTCGGCAGATTATTATTATTATCATCTTAATCGCTACTTATTTAAAATTACGTGTTTTGGATACCTTCTAATTTGAAAATAAAGATATTTCGCGGGTGACGCCCATCGTACGCGAACATACCCTTCGCAGCGAATTCAACCTTTCTGCAAAAGCTCTTATTGCCATCAATTTAGTCCTAAGATATTTTTTTTCGTCAAATTTCTTTGGAATGTCGCCGCGTCTTTTTGCCTAGAGCTAGGCTATAAAAAGGCTTAATTTTGAGAAATAAAAAAAAAGTATATTTTATTTGTTGAATGATTTATTTACATAAACTTATTCTCTTACAATAAATACAAATCCCACCAAAGACATTCGTGTTTTATTTCAATAAAACAACAGAAATTGGTTAATAAGTTTAATGTTTTCGATCTTAACTGATTTAAATAAAGTTTCTAAAAATAACTACTTGTTTGTTTATGCTCTCAACCAGTACATGCCACCACGGATTCTAGTGTAATCTGGGAGACCTTCACAAGGTCCAACTGCAGCAACTACAGGGCATCGGTCAAACAGGTATTTGTAGCATACATCACGAACATTTTGTGCCGTAACGGATTCAATACGAGCATCCAGCTCATGGATGGGAATTCTACGGTTATAGCACAGCATTTGGCGACCAATATCTTCACAGATGGGTGTAGTACCATCAAGTTGTAGGAGCATATTTGTTTTTAGGAGGTTCTTAGCACGGTCAACCTCACTTTCAGTTACAGATGTGCAAATTTTCATCCATTCTTTCTGAATATTGTATACCATATCTTCTATCTGTAATGGCTCAGATACAAAGTAAATGCCCCAAAGACCAGTATCCTTGTAACAAGTATTGAATGATTGGAAGCTGTGACACAAACCCTCAATAGAAGCAGCTCGGGCAAGATAAGAAGCATTGTTGCCACCACCTCCCTGAGACCGATCCCACGCACCAACAAGGGTATTTGCTACCATAAGAGGAATGTTGTCAGCATCGGTCCAGCCAGCACCTTCAACTGCAATGGCAATATGTGCTAGAGGCATAGAATCATCACGGACACGAATCTCAGAGCCTGTATAACGGCAAGGTGATAAGTCTATCGCTTCTGAAACTGTATTTTTAAGGCCACTGAAGTGCTTATTTGCAAGGTCTACAAGTTTCTGATGCTCAACACCACCTGCTCCAGACAATACAATGCGACCAGGTTGGTAGTGAGCCTTGATGTATGTCTGAAGGTCAGCCTTAGAAATTTTCTTAATATTCTTAGTAGGTCCAAGGATTGTCTGGCCTAGGGGAGTACCCTGGAAGGCAGTTGCATGTAAATGGTCAAAAACAACTTCTTGGAGATTGCTCTCGACGTCCTGCATTTCACGTAGGATCACTCCTCGTTCTCGTTCGATTTCAGGTTCAGCGAGTGATGAGTTCTGGATGATGTCGGCGAGGATTTCGACTGCGGTAGGCACATCGTTGGCTAGACACTTGGCATAGAATACGGTCTGTTCCCTAGAGGTATATGCGTTTAAATGAGCTCCCATGTTTTCAACGAGCAGTTCTAAATCGGTCTGAGACCTTTTGCTGGTGCCTTTGAAAGCCATGTGTTCAAGGAAGTGTGCTACCCCATTGTTCTTAGCCGTTTCATACCTGGATCCGGCGTCAATCCACAGGCCCACGGTAGCGGTCGGAGCGCCAGAATCTTCTGAAGCGACCCGAAGACCATTATCAAGCACTGTCAATCGAGTTGGAGGAACATTGACAAGAGCCTGTTTATACGCAGCAGCCGTCGCCAAACATCTTATTTGATTACCCTGATTAGAAACTAATTTTAAGGTTGTCGCTACTTTTAACATTTTTGTTTTTCTTTTGCACTAATTGTAATTTTTCTTTCCTCGCTTTACGTAATATTCGGGCAATAGAGTTTAGAACTGTCATAAAAAGAGCAGGCAGGGTAATAGAATGTTGCCATATTATAAACATATATTTTCTACCAATAAATCAAACACAGCCATTACATTTAGCAACCAGTATTATGTTATTTATGCATTTAGCATTTAACCCACAGAGATACATTTATACATACTTATATGTCTGTGATTAGATCTGCCTAGATGCCTGTCGCAGGTTAACAGACAGCTTAAACTCTTAGGTAAAGTTTTTATTGTAACATTGCAAGGTTTTCAATACAGAATATTTTATCGTTGTTGACAGTTGTACAATATAACCCCTTTAAAGTCGTTTCACTTAGAATTAGTGATAGCCCTTAACTCGCGAGGTGCCTCGTTTGAGGTCCTCATTTCGACAAAATGAGGGAGTACTTGTTTTTCAATTTTGAACCACCTCATTTAGTTCCTCACTTTTTGAGGCTTTAAGCACGAGGCGCGAGCACAGATTAACACCTCACGCAACAGAATAGCGAGTTGTTTAGAATGAAATGGTTACTCGATACTTACTCAATATATTCAAGATTCAGGGAACGGGTTAAGTTTTATGAGTTTTTTAGAACGATTCAGGTTTGTTTATGTGTTTTTTCGCAAATACCTATTTATTTTTTTATAGATAAATTATATTAATTAGTCTAAGTAAAAACCAAAGTTAAAAATGTATCGGTTTTATTTAGAAATATATTTTATATTCCGTTGTTCCTCTTTTAAAATCGTTTAATTAATGATTATTATTCTATCCGAAATATAAATGATTAATTGAATTTAAAAATGATATATTTGACACTATTAAAAATAATTTGCGTGTTGTGGTCATTCTGTTAAATAATAATCGAATAAAGTTTAATTCTTAGAATCTAAAGACAAAATATGCTTTGTTTAGCATTACAAACTCCCTCCCTTATTTTGTACCAAACGGCAACGTTGCGCGCGCCTCGCTACGTACTCATTCACTACTACTGTAACATTACCTATCCTCACCTCAAATGAGGGGTAACTCGCGAGCCCTTCATGAGGGAAAATGAGGTCCTCACTCATCCTCTATAAAAAAGATTGAGTTACACAACGGTACTTAGGATAGGTTTGGTGACATAGCGATGGACATTATTTGCGATAGACGGTTATTCAACTATTGATTTTCCTGTACCGCGATCACTCGTGATTCAGTGACACAACAATTATTTATTTTCCGCAACGCTTTAAAGAAAAGCTGAATTCACTCTTAAGTAAATCATTAAGGTTGATGTTTGGGCGACTCACTTTACTATATCCGCGATCACCAAGAACTGGCAATCGCAGTTCGTAGCGATACGTATACATCTTTTCAGAGATCAACGCTTTACATTGACGGTCATGTATATGCAATTTTAATAACCTTATAGAATGTAACACTTCATGTAGAGCATATAAATAATATGGATCGTAAATAATGCAACCTGTTCTGTGTGAATGAAACAACAACATATACCTAGTTCATGCTATCGTATACTGACATAGTGTACGTTTGAATGAAATAGGTATATATTTATAAGTTCCGCGTAGTTCGACTTTTGGAGCGATCAAGTTACCAACCAAAAATTGAGCTTTATCGCGTTTGTATAAGAATAAAATTCGCTTTGACTTTTTATAGCGTCAACAAAATGAACCAGTGTCAGCAAAATTACTATTCGTACGGTGGGTATGTGCTTTTTTGGTTCTTACAATAATATTGTCATTAATAAATTGACTTCCTACTCAACCTACTCTAGAAATCAGTTTTATTGAAATACATTACTTATTAAGTAACTTGAGTAGTCATGCTTTCTTAAAAATCTCTGCGGTGGTGTCGTGTGCGTCGGGAGTCGGGACGTTACGTTCACTCAAATATAGTTGAGTGAAGCGATGGTTGACTCATGCGTTGAACTCGTCAAAGGATGCTGCCAGTGGAGGTGAGTCTGCACTGAACTACTTAATGTCGTCCATTTTCTTTTAATATGAATATAGTATATTTATTTGTCAATGAGTATGTAGGATTTCTGATATTGTAATGGAAAGTTATTTCATAGTCTAATTAAGTTACATTCCAATAAGACTTGTTTGTGTGACATAAAACAGGGAGAGAAAAGCAGCCCTTGCTGAGTTTCTTGCCGGTTCTTCTCAGTACAAGATTTTCGGCCTTTATGACCTATTATGACCTCTCTTATTTATGACCTGCCTTATTTATGACCTGCCTTATTTATGACCTGCCTTATTTATGACCTGTCTAAGCAAATGTGTTATGCGGTGCCGCTTACATTTATGCGTAAGACACCTTATAATGCATGTTATAACTTCAGATATTGCTGTCGTCAGATGTCCTATGTAATTTGTGGTCAGATGATTTCTTGACAATGTTGAAATGCATTTTCACTTTTAACCTATTTTGACATCTAAAATTTGGGAAATATAATGAAAATAGTTCTAAAATAGAAATCGGAGATCCATTAAAAGGTTTGTTTTATTAAATGATTGTGCGGAATCCTCTTCGTACTAGTTGTAACTCTGTCTTAACCGGTTTATATAATACGTCAATCATATTATAAGAATAATTTTGATGCTTAAAAGAAAATACTACCAATTCAGTTTAATTTTATGCGCTTGCAAGACCATAATGTTAACACTGTCCGAATCATAGATCTCGTATAAGACGCAGTTAAAATAAAATAAGTTTTATTCAAAATGTTTTTATTGGGAACACTATCAATAACAAGTGCTATTAGCTACATTTTGCCTTTAAAATTAAACATACAACTATATATTTATGATTAAGGTTTATACGTTAAGAATAAAAATAATAATATTGTATCATTTAACAAATAAGTTCATTTCGGACAAAAATTGCATCATTTTCTGTATTCCGATTTATGCAGCATACGTAAAGGTGTTGTGTGCTTTTTAAGAAACACAATTGATAAGAGATTATGATCTTAATTTATAAATTATACAATAACTCGCAAGTTTCAGATTTTATCACTCACTGTAAATAAGTGCAAAAATATTTATTTACTCCATAAGACTTTCGGAACAATTGACTGATAGAACGGAACACACATCAGTTCCGTTCCGCGACAAAAATCATTTTTTTCTGTCATTCCCATTTCATTTCATTTTATCGCACGTCACGTAATATCGTGGTATTATTACGGAAGCAATAATGTGTAGTGAAAAGTTATTAATATTAAATTTTGTTAAAGACTTTTGGGAAAGTGTACGCCGGTAAATAATAATCCTTTAATATTTCCTTGAAAGATGCTATTTGAAATTTGTCTGTGATCTAGTTTATTCGTCATCATGACTACAATGAAGAATCCAAATTCATCATCGAATAAGTTAGCACTACTTAGCCACATTAAGTACGAACACCTGGTAGCTGGCATATCAGGTGGAGTGACTTCTACATTAATTTTGCACCCGTTGGACCTCATCAAAATTAGATTTGCTGGTGAGTCTTTGTAACCTTTTCTGTTAAAACAAGTGCCATGCGAGATTTGTCTCGTGACCATAAGAGTTACTATTGATTTTTTAATTTGTAGGATTTACTTGATAAATTACGTACTTGATAAACAAGGAGCGAAAGCTCTGCTGACCTTGAACTTCGCCAAATAGCAATGACTGGAAATGAATGTCTTGACCATTGTTTACATTGGCATGAAATGATTTTGATGGGACAAAAGTCAAGTTAGAAAATTAATTTTAGCAACTGTTTCTCTTTTCTCTTGTATTTTTCCTATATTAAATACGGTATTGAATTCCTTATTCATTAACTTGCTTGTGTGCTCATTAAAATAAATAAACAAATTAGCTATTTTGAAACTTTATAAACTAAAGGTAAAATAAGATTGTATGAAATGTAGGTACTGAATTATTTTAAGCTTTTTAGTAGACAGGTACTGAATTATTTTAAGCTTTTTACACTTCTACAAAGTTGAGCATTAATGATGATTTAAGTTCCAATAAAGTATAATAGATTTGCTAAAAGTAAAAAACAACAGTTTAAGTGTTCTCCATTTTTCAGTGAATGACGGCAGGACTGCAACAATCCCGAGATATGATGGGCTAGGCAGCGCTTTCGTAACTATAGTTAAGCAAGAAGGTGTGAAGGGCCTCTATAGAGGTGTCACGCCTAATGTATGGGGCTCTGGATCAGCATGGGGCTTTTATTTTTTATTGTAAGTATTTTGATAGCTACACTATAATAATCTTATATACTGAGTATATGTTTGGCTGTGAAAGAGTAAAATTTACATAAATTGCAAGGTCAATGATAGCTGTAAAATATAAAGTTAAATTAGTTATATGATAGACCGGCTGGACCTCAGTTTGACCATGACAACATCGCAGACAGACTCAGTTATGTAATATTTATACACAGTTCATTATACAGTTTGTTACATATTCCATCACACAATCGGAAAAACACATGGCAGTTTTGCCATAATATGCATTGGTTATATAAAAATCTATAACATCAGTCCTTAGTTATAAAGAAAAAAACACGACTTAAAATTTGATGACATAATCACCACTTTTCAACAGTCTGTAGTGTTTTTGTTTTATTCTGCTTTATAGTGATTATATATATTCGATTTTAATTCTAAAGGTAAAAATAATAGAAACATTTATGCTGCTAAATGGATTCAAGTGATTTAAATAACTTGATACTGAATATTATTAACTAAATAATAGCAATGTAGAAGACATATCAGAGTACAGTTTTGGCCTTTAAAAAAAAAAACTAAAATAGACTGCATCCAAAAGCAGTTTAAGTAATTTAGATGCCATAATAACTTGGATTTGTGAACATATTTAATATAGCATAGGGCATGCTACAAAATAGACAATGACACAATATACCCAAGGGCATGCTACAAAATGGACAATGACATAAATAATCAAGTGATTGACTTGTAGTGTTTTGATATACAAACACAGTACTTTTCACAGCTGTAAATTTTATAGTGATACATAGTTATTGTTTTATTTCTTCATTTACATATTTTTTTTATCTGCCCTAAGTACAGACTATCAATATAGGCGCTATTGCTTATAAAACAATTGTTGTTTTCATCCTAGTTACAACGCAATCAAAACCTGGATACAAGGTGGCAATGCGCGGACTCCACTAGGGCCAGGATTACATATGCTAGCAGCGGCCGAGGCAGGCATCCTGTCATTGGTGATGACCAATCCCATCTGGGTGGTAAAAACCCGTCTATGTCTGCAGTACAGTGAGGATCATATGGCAGAACACAAGCGGTATAGAGGCATGGTCGACGGCCTCACTAAGATCTACAGAACTGAGGGCATCAGGGGACTCTACAGGGTAAGTTATTTTATCCCATAATTGTCATTTTATACCAAAAGTCTGTTTTTTCATCTCGGAGACTAAATGTCATGTCAAATTTAGAAATAATGATATCAGCTTTTTTTGAGTAGTATTGACCTACAATACTGGTTTTGGAATAATCGGTATTTTTTTTATCATATTAGATAATAATCTTAGTAATAAAATGCATTGGTCTTACACAAAGGTCTTACAAGTCCAAAGGACTCAAGTAAATTATTTGTTTGTATATTTTATAATTTTACAAGTTTGATAATCATCACTTATACATATTATATCGTCTAAAAGCGTGCGGAGGTGCAGTTAATTTATATGTTTTTCTATCAAATTAAAATCTTAAATGTTTTCTACTGCTGTTTGCAATCTGAACAGAAAAATAAGCTTCTTTTAAATCAACAGTTGCCATGTAACAATCGTGTGTTACTAGAAATTACTGCATCCTGGCTCAGGGTGATCCTCAGTCGTCACCATCTGTGAATCGTCGGGTGTATCCGTTTCGGCGAGATCTTCAATTACTTCGGTGATACCGAGTTTATCTTTCTGTTTTAATAACTTCTCTAGTTTTCTTGATGAAAAAATAGTACTAACACAGAACCCGAATATTAAATAACGTTCGTTTGGTTCAATAAGAACGAAATCAAAAAGCTGAGTGGTTAGAGCAGTCGCCCGGATTGCGCAAGGTCATGGGTTCGAGTCCCATCTGAGACAAAGAGTTTTTTTTTAGTATTGTGAATTCAGAATTGATCTTATATTTACCCGACTGCACGATGCAAAGGAGGATAATATGTTTATTAGTCTATGTATGTATATTTGTTTCTATGTAGCGTTCTAGAGAACAAATGCGTAGGCCGATTTTGATGATTAACGTCAATCGATTCGTCTTAACCTTGCGAGTGTTACTAAAGACATGACAGTAGGTACTCAAAATTCACCACAGTGACAACCAGACGCCATATTGTCTAAATGAAAAAATAAAAATCGATGAACTATGTCAAGTGGGGTGTCGTTGAATGGGTATTTTAAAATCATCTTTAGGTTCCTTTTATCATTTTTCATTTTAAATAATAGTTTAGGATATATAACGATTTAAAGTTGTTTAACAAAACATTCTCGCTAATTTTCTTACTTATTGATTAAAGTTTTTATTAAAAGTATAAATGATATACAAACAAAAAGAAAAAGTGAAAAAACATGAATAACAAATATTTTAGGTAAAAAAATAAAGCATATGTAGCTTTGAGCCGAGTTAGGTATCTAGAGGGACTAATCATCAGTAGTTTAGACCAGCGCAAGTTACTTAATAATCCCCACGATATTAACTCCCTCAATGAAATAACTTGATTGCGAAATTAACCATCTTATAATGAAGTCAACGAATCGTAACTAAAAAGTTTGAAATAAAAGTAAATAATTTAAAGAAAAACAAAAATCCCGACTGTGTAAAAACGGGCCGGGCCTCTTATCCTGAGGGGCCTCCAAATGGCTGAAAGTTCCCTTGATCATTTCATAAATTGGGGTTGTGCTGCCTTATCTTTCTTAGTTTCGTAGTTTTAGCAGGCGTCTTAGCAGGATAGGCGGTGTAAACACAAAATCAAGTTTCTGCACCAGTTGTAAAAAGTTGTAGGTACGGACCTAATGCCGCCCCGGGCCCCCGACAGGGTTAATCCGCCACTGGCATAGATACTAGATTAATAGTTTAGTTTATAATGAATCAAACCGACTTTATTATTGTTTAAGACGCGTATGTAAGGTAAGCGTATTATCTTATTATTTTCATAGATTATAACACTTTTATTGCCACTTCACATTCTGCCTCTGTCACAATTCGATGATGACGTCAGATCTTAATCTCAGTTTTGTTTTAGTTTTTGATTGTGTAACGCAGTGTTATCAGTGATATAAAGAATGGAATGAATGACAGTGGAATAAGTGGATTTTTTTTGTGCACATAATTAAAATAATTGAATACATGTTGTATTCTAAATTTAACATATTTTTGTGTGAAGTTTATATTTTTGTTAAAAAAGCAGTCAAACAAAACACTTTTCCACTAAATTATTAGACAGAATCCGGTCTCAGGGTCTGGGTGTTGCCTCAGATTTCCAGTTCAGAGCTTCAGTTACTTAAGAGGTCTGAGCGATGTCACACACATGTATAAAAATTACTTCTCGTTTCTAAGGTACCTATGCTATTACATAATTGGTAATTACTGGTCTCCTATTGATGATCAGCCTTGGCAAAACTTTAGCAATTGCAGGGCGAACGCATTAACCACTACGCCATCAAGTTCCTCTGTTTATTTTGTAACATGTTATGTCTAATGGATTGAAGGTGGATCACGTCTGATCGACGCAAGTGTTTATTTATTTGTTATTTGTTACAAGTACTACTATATAACCTATCTCTGTTGTTGTTATTATGAAGGCTCAACTCAAACATTTGTTTATCTAAATCTACAGTTTGGTTGATGTTTACATTACTTGATCACGAGGCTATACGTTATGTTAAATATTTTTGTCCACAATTCCATTATAGGTACATTGATGTTTTGTATCTAAGACTTAGAAGTCAATATAGTTTTAAAATCATGTTGTACATATGTAGTTAGGTATTGCATTTGTGAAACTTCAAAACTAATTTGAACCCTATTGATACACAATTTTTAAGTTTATTATTAACCGACTGACGAGGCTAGGGATTATTATGAAACTTTTACTATTCCAAGACTCTTGGACATTCCATAGTTATAATTGGCGTAAGTACTTTCGCGGAAAAGCGTCAATGTTGCAACATATAAAGGTCAAGCGAATATGAACCATATCTCTGTGATATAAGATTGGCACGAGTTCAAGGTGTATCTGTGTTTCTGCGGTTAGTTATCGATCGTATTTTGTGTTGCGGTGGGACCGCACGTGACGTAGTCTAAACAATTATTTAATACCGAAGTGAGGAATCTTATGCGAATATTGAACTTGTAAAATGACATGGCTTAGTTATTGGTATACTGGTTTCAAGATTTCGCCATCTCTGAGGCCCGAGATTCGATTCCCGTTTGGTTCAATGTAGTCTCGGGTCTGGTTGTTATTGTACTTTCGTTGTTCATCGTAATACGAGAGCTATTTATTAAGAATTGTTTTTTTGTTTATTTTTTTATTTGATAGATTAAACTTTTAATTAATCCCATAGACAGTTCATCGGAATTGGTTCAGCAATATTGTTTTTATATCGAAATAATGTATAATAAGAAATCATATACAATTAAGTAAATATATAATGTGTCTCATCGATGTGTAGTCAAACGAAAATGTAGTCTAAATAATCCTATTAATGTGAATGTTTCTTTGTTTGGATGTTTAGATGGCTCTGAAAATATTGGACCGATTTAAAAAAATCTTTCACCTACGGAGTGCTACATCATACGTGGTCGTAGGCTATATTTCACGCTAGCGAAGTCAAGCAGCTAGTATGGAATGAATTTTAGTATGCTGACAATAATCAGCCATAGATAAGCTGTGAACAAATGCATGCAGAGTATTAAAATATCTTTTTTTTTTCTTCTAATCTTTGTTACTGTCACGTGAGTTAAAAGATAATATTGACGGCTGACAAATTAAGATTGATAATTCTTGGATTATCCCGTTAATCCTACTAACATCATATACTTGGAGATTTGAAGGTTTTTTTTTTATAAAATTTAATGCTTGAGTAGTAAAAATGTACACGCGGCTGAATATCAGACTATACATACTGGACTTAGTACAGATCGCGCTTCATATACTGTATAATATGCCATACTAAAAGAGGTCTGCTTACGGTGATGGTGTGTAGCGTGACGTGCGGCCGTGTGTACAATTGTACATATATAATTTTCTTTCAAAAGTTTCGTCAATTTTCGCGGATGATCCGAAAGTACTCGGCAGCAATATAAGGTTGTAACCTTATATTTAGAGTAGCTCGGTGGCGTAGTGGATAAGCGCCGCGGCCCGCTATCGCTGTTGTTAAGCAACTTTCGCAAGGATCGGTCACAGGATGAATGACCAAAAAAAATATTATCTCGAGCTACTCCGTGCTTCGGAAGGCACTTTTAGCCGTCGGTCCCGGCTGCATTTGCAGTCGTTAATACTGTAAAATCCGCATTGGGCCAGTGTGGCCTTCCTTATGGATGGTTAAGAAGGAGGGTCGTGGCCCATCCTTCTTAACCATCCATAAGGAAGGCTTGAGCCCCTGCAGTGGGGACGTAAAAGGGCTGATGATGATGATTTAGTGTTTCGAGGATCGTATATTATGTCATAGTTAATTACGCTTACTAAAAATTAACAAGAAGTGTAAAGTTTATGTCATCACCAACCTATTAATGTCCCCAATGTTGAGGCTCAAGACTTCCCTGTGGGTGGAATCGAATCGAATAAGGAGAACCGGCCATATCCACCACGCGGGACCAGTGCGGATTGGTGGGTATTAACTACTGTAGGTGTAGCCAACGGCTTAACGTGCTTTTCGGAACACGGAGGAGTTCGAGATACTAAATTTTTGGTCACTCATCCTATGAGTAGCCATTGTATCGTAGACCGGGCACGCTAGCTCCTGCGCAATAGAGCTCGTATAGGTCTGACATGTTTATTAGGGGCCATCCATAAATTACGTCACACGTTAGGAGGGGGGGGGGGGGGGTTAATAAACATGAAGTGTGACGTAATTTATGGACGGCCCCTTATGAATGAATGAACACTGTTATTATGTAACATTAACTATGCCTAGGTCAAAGTGATTATGTTTTTTATAAACAAGTTCGATTTACTCCAGCAGCTTCTCGTGCCTGCGTAGTCCATAGGAACTGTAAAGTAGTCTATTCAAAATTAATATTATCCCATTACCACATTTCATTAAAATCCGCTCAATAGTTATTGTGTGAAAGAGTAACAAACAAAAGCATTTATAATATTTATAGCTAAAGCAAGGCTGTCTAAATAAAATACCTAATATGTATTTGGATTAAAAAAATCTATAATATATTCTATAGACATTCGTTTTCTGGGTTGTATATCGCAGTAACGACGACAATAAGAATCTTTATTATAAAGAAAATAATGCATTTAGTCACCTAAAAGTTATTTTATTTATTATATACGCAAACTCGACAGTTCAATGACCGTAAAATGTAACGATGTAATTTAAAACATATCGTATTGAAAGCGATTTAAGGTTCTTTATTAGGGACACGTATGGACTTTGGGTTTAATGATAAAACTGGAATTTAAAATAATCGACTGTTATTATTACATAATGAAGTAGTAGTTGATAACTTATAAAGTCTCTATTATTGCTTAGCTAGTTTGTTGATGGTCTCGTATACTATAAATAAATCTCTTGTTGTATTCTTGACTGGACCTCAAATTGAAAATGAAATTGCATAATAAGAAAGTACTGTTACGACTCAGGTACTGTTCGGGATAATAATGAACGCCAATTAAGTTCACAATCTGACTTTATTTAACACAATACAATTACTAAAAATAATCCAATAACAATATTCACACTACAACTTTACTGTTTCACGTCACTAATTAATAAATAATAACACTTCACATTGGGATGATCGATATTCATCGATGTTGAATAATCATCGATGTTTAGCTTGAAAACATCGATGTTTTGACTACGATAACATCGACACATCGATGTTTTCTATCCAAACATCGATGTTTATGAATAAAATGTTAATATAGCCTTAGGGCCATCTAACATGCTCTAGATGTACTAGTCACCGGTTGCACTCGTAACTGTAGTAAGCAAACAAATAGCTCTTCTTTGCTTGCATTTTCCTTGGAAATTTAAAATAAAAATGTGAACTTCACGAAGGAAGTCGCTTGGATCAGAATGTTTTCACTTTTATTAAAAGGTTCTTCTTTATCAAAATTACTTTTCCTACAGTCAGTTCATAAAAAATATTGGAATATACATATAATAATTTGTTCTGTTTCTTAATAAGTTTCGAAAGATTTCACTGTATTTTGCTTCTTTGTCAATTATTGCAAATAACCATGGATGTTTTCCAACATCGATGTTCATATTTCGTTAAATATCGAACATCGATGTTGGGCTTACGATGGTGATACCGATGTCAATATCGATGTTTTTCTAATATCGATCATCCCTTCACAACACTATTAGATCGTACATCGCTCTAATTTCGCTTTCGATCGCATGTGCACTGTCGAATGTCGGTCGGGATGGGTAGTCTACGTATTTTAGGGGCCGATACCACTTCTAGAATGTTCTAGGTTAGTTTAGGACTTAGAACATTTTAGGTGTTTCCTCGCCTCGGCCTTCCCGATGTATTCGATTTAGTGATGGTCAACTCGAGTGACTAACTCGAGTGAACTCGAGTCGGGCGTAACTCGAACCCACTCGAGTTGAATTCTCTCTAACTCGAGTTCGTTTACCGAATGGAACCGACATGGAGAGAAGTTTGCCGATCATTTGAATAAGACAATGATGTTTATTCATTCATTCATCACAAACAAGTGTCATATAATAATATATTATGTAGATTTGAGGTTAATTTTAAACTGCTAGTTATTGTTGTAAACTTTGGTGTTTTATGTTCTGTTTTTAAAAAATGGCGGGAGAAAAAGAAAATCTTTATTTTGGGATGTATTCGAATCCCCAGTGAGTGGATGTGTTGCGTGTTAACAATGTTCAAATTCAGTTCAGATTACCCCCGGTCAGAGGAGACCCCTTACTCCTGACATTTATTATTACGCAATTAGTAAAAAATAATGAATATCCGATGAATTTGCCACGAGCTTCAATCGCTATAGTTATGCCACTGCTTGTCCATCTAGTTAACTCGGGAAATGTAATTCGAGTTCAACTCGAGCTATGTGGATTTTAACTCGGGTTAAATCGAGTTTTGTTTTTTCCGAGTTGGCACATCACTAATTCAATTCGATTCGAGATTCTAGAACAGCTAACTGTCCCTTTTTTCCCCAGCGAATGTCCTTTTCTCGCCGACCCGATGTATGCCTATACCTATAACACAGGTAGTTTCAATCTCAATGCTAGTGCGATTCATTAGCGCATAACCGTAACAGTACTTTCTATACAACAAATTGAGACATTAGACAAAGGTCTCAAACTGCCGAACTGAATATTTTTTCTTTCGGGAAGATATTCTTCACAGGAAACTCGAACGTACATAGCTATAGCATATGCACAAAAATGTCGTTTCTTAGTTATTCTATATGCGTCCTTTAAACAAACTATTACATAAATAAAGCAACTTTTAAACGGTTTCACCGCGTTTGTATTTAGTTTTGTTGCCAGTTAAGACCCTTTACAGGTTCCGTGTTAACATAAGACTAAGATATTGACTGTCTTTTTAATTAAGAGCATAGTTATAGCTACCTTCAAAACAATAATATTGGACACATTCACAATACAAACAATTTATGTTTAATAGAACCGTTTTAATTTTAATAAAAGTAATCGTTTCTATTAAATAAAAAAAATCAATATATTCGAGTCCCATTTGGGGGTACCTAGAGCGCTTAACATGTTAAATTTAATAATAAGTAAAGGTATATTGACAAGCGATCATCAACTTTATAAGTTTTATTCCTTTTAAAAGAAAGGAGAAAAAAAATAAACGTCAATATTTTCTATATATATTACTATTCATTGCAAATAAACAAACAATCAAATTTTTCTTCGTTTTAATATTTATAGAAAAACGACGTCATCAACTTACCTGAACACCTCGATAAATCGATGATTCTAATAATAAACTGGTGAAGGTCACTCTCTATAAGTCATCTCAAGTACAGTCGGTAACACGTTGGTCAAATTTCGCCTATCAAATTTGTGTCCTAATCATTCCTTGGTCAAGTTCATAATTGATTGCTGTTCGGTCATTTGATTTGCTACTGTTTGTACTTACTATAATATAAGACATATTGATGTATCGGTACAAAGTGAATTTGTTTTATGACGTCATCTATCGTCTCTATCGACAGCTACCATCTATTTTGTAATGTTCAAAGGAATAAATTTTATCGTTATCACGGCAAAGCACCGATAATAGTAAATATTGGACACAAGACGATATAGAAAAAATAATTTTGTACATTTACCTATCGGTAATTGAACTTGGGCCTCATAGATGGCGGCACCTTGAAACTGGCGACCAAACTACTTTGTAACGGAGGATATGAATGCGGAGTTTCAACTTAATGAAACTTGGTGCCCAAGGCAAATCTATTGTAACTAATATGGGTACACCGGTTAAAGAGTGTAATTTTGCCAATGTCAAAAAACTGAAGAAAAATATATTTTTAACGTACCTACTGCACGGGCCCATGCAGTAGGTACGCCCTCGGACCTATCCTGAATGAAGTTTATTTATATATTTAAATCGTGTAACGTTTTTTGCTAGGAGCTGCATAGTTTATTTCGGCTGATAAACTAAACAGAAATTTATTAGCACTTTTTTTCCATGGAATACGTTTTATTTCGCTAAAAGTTTATCCTAGAAATTACGATTTACTCAGACATTGTGGCGGGCAGAAACTATTTCATAATAATATAGATTTGGCATTGTTGGCTTATCGTTCCCATATGTTGCTTACAGGGCTTCGTGCCAGGAATGTTTGGGGTGTCGCACGGTGCGCTGCAGTTCATGACCTACGAAGAGATGAAGAACCGCTACAACCAGTACAGGAATCTGCCCATCGACATAAAGCTGGTGAGATTAATCATTCAATCTTATGTTGTGGAAGTGAAGAGGTTGTGCCATGTGTTCTCTTCCTACCTTGTATAGAAAAGAAGAAAGGGTTCTTGTCTCTCCTATTTTATTTCATAGATATACCTTTACATTGATAAATAATGTCAAATGTCACTTTTTTGTTCTTCTTATAATACACATTAAAATTAAAAAAAAAAATTCTGTTACTGCCAAGTGGATCTCATCAGCTTGCAGGCCAAATATTGAAATGGTTTAGAATTTTGGACACTTCAGGCATAACAAATGATTATCAAATAAACGTTTGTTTCTCGTCTTCCTTTCTTTTGACAAATTCTATTGGTTGTTATTAGAGCTAATTTGATGTCCTAAATTGCCATAAATGACTGTGGATATCAACAAGTTTGCTGTGTGAATCGGACAGAACTGGTTTATTACGGTTGTGTATTGTTTCGATTAACGCTCAATTCGTTTCGATATTGACATCATATGCTGAACTTAGAGGTGATATTATGGTAGTGGAACAAATATGAATGTACACACTGCACACCAGGTTACTTCAAAAGGTGAAATTTCTGCAATCCATTTGCAATTTAAATTCTAACTGCTTAAGGCTCAAAATCGTTTGGAAGAATTTGGCTTATCGTTGGAACATGACGTGTTGGTTGTACATATTATTTCATTATTTCTGACGTCCCGCTTGCGTTTTTAACGATTTGACTCATTAACGATAGATTGTATTAGTTGGCGATGAGGTTGCCAACATTTTCCCCGGAAATACGGTTCTCGTGAATGTCATAGTTGGTAACATATCACATAATAATGTAGTCATTATGGTTAAAAATGGCCATTCATCAATAATAGACCCTGACTTAACTTACAAAACTTTTGCTTTTTTGTTTGCATGGAATCGGAATGTATTTTTGTCTATATATTTTGGAAAAAAATCCTAAAACTATCTTTAAGAGTCGGTCTAGAGCAGTTTGCCCTTACAGTAACTTGAATGAATTGTGCAACTAATACTAACCAATTTTGATATGTAACTTACTATATGAAGTAGTTGTTTTTGCACGTCATAAGTGTAATGACGTCATTCGTGTTGTTGTCGAGCCAAATCGATCAGAACAGATGTCATGATACTTACGCTCTTATATTCTACGTATAATGGTTTTTTATCTCTTGGCATCGGTCGCCTTTTACAGGTGCTTTTATGAATATCACGGCAGACGGCATTAAAATATTCATGTTAATTTACGCGTATAAGGAAACATTTTAGGAAGATTGCTCAAGATTTTGTAATTTTCGATTCGATTTTTTTTCATAATCGTGAAGTCAAAAGAATTTTATGCCAGTAACAGTGTTTTATTTAAGGAAAACACTATATTTTAACTAATCTATCTATTATTCGTGTCTTGTTGAGTGCAATGTTTCGTTCCTCATGAGGATTTAGCTATTTTTATGCACTCCACTTCAACCGTTATGTGACCGCCCGTAGCGAGTTCTAACCGCAGTGAATGTGACTATAACACCGCGACCTCTTATGTAGGTACATTAAGATACAATTGAATTGGCTCAATGATGTACCTGCGCAGAAGGCTAAATTTCGAATTGGAATGATTCAAACATCACGCCTTCGGGCGATCCACCAATAGCTATTGCTGAGTTTGAATGAGAAGAATGCTCAATACATATTAATACATCTAATAGTCATTTAAACAAAACTCACTATAAATATTGGTCGTGTATTCGGTTATTATCGGAATCTGTAGCTCTGTTCTGTGCAAACGAAGTTTTACCATGCATGAAACTAACAGTATATATAGCTAATATGAATTTATTCAGTTTACGGTTGCACTCCTTTTCTGTCTTAATCTTTTAAAATTGTCAGCAAAAGGATATGCACTTTAAATTACTCATAATAAGTATATAACTTCACTTAATTATTGCGGAAATGTGCATTCTGAAACATTGTAAATTTTATTTTTTTTGATGATTGTAATAGAATAGAACTAGAGCAGATGTGGGTCACATTTGCTCTAGTTCTATTCGATTGGCACGGCAGTTTCGCTACGCCTAGGGTGTTTTTCTGGCTTTTTCCTACATGCATTGTTTTAATCGGACGTCTCCCGGGGACCGATAATTTGAGACAATAGGGTAGTTTCGGTAGTGAAAAATTAAATTACATTGTTATTAAAATAGATATTAGATTCTGATTTTGAGTCTTAAAATCGTACGATTATCTTAAAATTAAAAGTTGTGATTTTTATTCTGCGTCACTTGAAACACGACCCGCCATTGTGTGACGTTACTGTTGAGACAAAGGTGGCGCTGTTCCCTTATTTATATCTTTTTATTTCGAAATTGAGCGTAAAATGACGCTGTTTTATACTAGTTTTATCTTTTAATCTTCTACTCCTACGTATCTGTTTTGTGTACATATCACAATGACGTCATGAATATGACGAACAGCGTTTTCGCGGGTATAAAAAAAGGTTTCAATATTTGTTATAAGGTTTTGCTTAAATTAAAACAAACGAGTGGAATACCCTATGTCGGTAGGCAGTGTAACAGGTCGGTGTTGTTTCGTTATCGCGTGTAGACGTCCGCGGAGTACCTGACGTTCGCGGCGGTGTCCAAGCTGGTGGCGGCGGGCGCCACGTACCCGTACCAGGTGGTGCGCGCGCGGCTGCAGGACCAGCGGCGCGCCTACTCGGGCGTGCTGCACTGCGTGCACGACACGTGGAGGTACGAGCGCCTGCCCGGCTTCTACAAGGGCCTCACGCCCTACCTGCTGCACGTCACGCCCAACATATGCCTCGTCATGCTCATATGGGAGAAGTTCACCAACAACCACTAGCGGCCCACACTCGACATGCAGGCTCGCGTTGCACCGCTCGGCAATGCGATTCTGTTTTAATCCGAACCCGAATTCGAATTCACTCGGGTGTCCTATTCACTTGGGAAGCGACATCCGCTTAACCTTTGATTAATGTTAACATTTCGTGGCACAAGTGTAATGAGTTTTGGTATAGATATAGGAATAGAACAAGATCGATATCTTGTTTTGTATTTTAATACAAAAAATAGAATCAATACAATTGCTACACTAATTGACGCAATTCGGACACATGGAGTGAATTCAGTTTCGGATTTTTACAGAATCGCTCCGCAGGAATGGCATGGAAACGACTTTTGAAACGAAATCGTCCGTGGCGTAATGAACTTTATGTCTATTCTATAACGTACAAATAGAAGGAAAAAGTTAACGAAAGATAGACGCACAAAATCAAAGGAAACTAACATCTAAAACTATATATAATAAATGGGTATTCCGTTTGTATGTTATGAAATTGACATAAAGTTTGTTATGATATGTACGATTTCGTTGCAAAAATAACTCCAATCCAATCCAGGGCGCTGCAAATTGAGCTTTATTTTGAGAACCGAAAAATTTGCATCGGCGTAGTTGTTGTCGGACGCAGTCGATCGTTTCACGGACGCTCCTCCCTCCCCCCACCCCTCCGCGATATCTGATGGGAATTACGTACGACAGTTGTGCTTTCGTGATGGCTTTATTTTATTTGTGTATTCCAATTCGATGAAGGTTTTGTTATGTTGTGAGATTTGAGTTTTTTTTTATTGTTAAATATTATAATGTGTCTCTTCTAAATATTTCTTTGTAGCGTACAGTCGACGTCGACGGTGGATCCGTATTTCAAAATTGTAATATTTTACATCGAAGTCCCAAGTGTCAAAAATACATTGTGTGAAAATAATTAACTATTTAAACTTTATGGTGTATAATGTTAAAATACCTATTTCTTAAACTATTAATTAAATGCTGAAAAAATGTTATTCAATTAAATTTTCTTGTCTGTTGTAAACTGTTAAATAAATTACATTTATATCGTATGAATCGCCATTTAAAACGACAATATAAGCGTCATAACTAATTAATGTATTATAAACATGTCGCAGTATTTTACAATGAAACTTTTTAAACTACGTTTTTTTTTCCAAATTAGAATATACAAACAAATTCTTACAATGTTGTTAGAACAGAAACAATTGAAATTTCAATTATAGTTTATTGTCAATATATAAGGAATTAATATCAAAAGCATTGAATACTTTTGAATAGTTACTTATAGCACTGACTTAAAAACAATGATAATATTATTGTATAATTAATAAATAATCTTTGGCGTATAGTGTAGTAATGATTGTATTGAAGACCACTCTATCAACTTAAATTTTGTTGAGCGAGAATAAAAAAAATACAGAGTTGGAAATATATTTATTTGAGCAAGAACCTCTTTGAAGTGTATGTTATGATGATGAAACATATTAGCATGTATTCAACGAAATAACGTTGCTCGGAGCCGGATGCGTGGAAGAATACAAGGTAAGAACTAGCCATAAGCAGGGTTTAAATTATAATTTAATTTATTTGTTAACATAATTGCATTTTGTATTATATTCAAGTTTAAGATGATCCTTGGAAGGTTCTTTTTGTTCGAAACTATCTGTTTTTATTGTGAATCGTAATAAGAACATGTTAATATGGAAGTTATTCGGCTATTTATAAATTGTGACAGTTTTTTTGGCGCGAACGCAAGTGTATGTACGTTGGCAGAGTGTCAAGACGACTTTCCTCATTAATTACTTTGTATTTGACTGTTAATGATGAAATATAAAAATAGTGTTACGATATTAAAATATTTTTTTCTAAGCACTTTAATTTAGATAATTAGTCTTATTTTAATGTAATTTATAATAATGTTTCTTAATTTCATACATAATATTAAATATGACTACCCCGTTCGTATGCGAAATTCAAAAATACGATATTTTTTTCATATGGCAACATTTTATGAGATTAAGAAACACTGATTTGAAAGATTGTAAATCCTGTCTCACGACATATGTTGTGTTTAACTTTTGCTCATTAACATTGCCATAATGTGATCACGTGAGCATAAATAGTAGTGAACAATCCCATCAGATCGCGACTGAGCATATTATAAAGACGAAGGCTGGCAACACAGCCGCCTCTAGCGCAATTTAGTTTTAATTTGACAACTTTTGTGATAATAGGTATGTACTTATAATTTTTGTTTCTTTATTTGTATGTCTACTAAAACACTGAAATGAAAAGACAATATTTTCTATTTCTTTTTTTTTTTGGAATCGGTAACGTTACATGTGTGGTGAGACTACATTGTTTTCCTAAGATGGACAGGTTTCAACTTGTTTCGTTAAAAGGTTCGATTAGAATAAGATAAAGTAACAAAAAAATATATTTAATAACCTTCTTTCTGTACTTTATCTTTTAATAGGTACTGTCGCGTACTCAAGTTTGAAGCTTTTCTGTCATAGTGTCTTGATGTTAAATATAATCCCGCCTCGTTTGTAGATAAATGGATTCCCTTTCGTTTTATGAAAATAAAAAAAAATAGCATCTGCAATTAGTTTTGTTGCTTTTCCTTACGTAAGTTAATTAGTACAACTAATGAAGAAATTGCACTTTTATAGTGAAAAAGAATTATTAAATTCCTTAATCACGTGAGGACAGTCGATTCACATATATGTTTTAATACTTATCTACAATAATTCACATTGTCATTTTTAACAGTCCATAATTTGACACATATCAAACTTGACGTCTTTAATTAGCTAATAATACTAAACAATATCAAATCAAAATATATTTGATTTAGTTTTGTCTAACCGTTTTATGCTATGTACGGTGTTATTTTATATGCCAGGACTTCGTGGGGTGGATAAGTTAAATATACTGATCAATTTTTACTATGGGAGCAACGCTGAATTCACGAAAAAAGAATCGGCTGTTTCATACTATTGGCGATTTTAGGTATTTATAATTTTGTATGAAACAGCTGTTATTTCTTTGTGAATTCAGTGTTGCTCCCGTAGTAAAAGTTGTTCTGTGTATTTAACTTATCCGCCCCACGAAGTCCTGGCATATAATATTATTACACCTTATATAAAGCTAGTTTAATCTCTAAAAAAAATGTCATTACACGCCTTAATTAAGTCCTTAAGCTCTTTTTATAGATAAAATAAAATGAATTTAAATAATATTTTAGATTCAATGTAACTGTGTAACCCTTTTAAGAATATAAATTGCTTAAAGCTAGTCTGTTTCAACACTCAAAATAACATAGCGATAAGTGTCTCTTTTAAGTGTAACTTAGTTGAATTTTAAACTGAATGTGGATCGATAAAAGTACACCAAAAAATGAATGAATGGTTTTTGAACTATTTCTTATCTATTTATTATTTTATTGGGCATTTAGTAATAGCTTCGTAATCGTAAATAAATATATTTTTAAGCTGAAACATTGGGATTGTATTATGAGAATGATTGTACTATGACAACTTACAAGTTTTTCATCTTTTTAATATAATGCAGAGATAAAAAAAATATTCAGTTTATGTATTTGTGAAGACGTGGAATAAAACCTGTATATCTAAGAACCCTAGTTTCACGTGGGTTCTCTATATGTATCCATGTATAGGATATGCGTATGGATTTAGTACAACGCCTACAGCAGTGATTGATTAATAGTTTTGACAAATAATTTTTCACTCAATAAACTCTTCTACGCCCACACTTTTATGGCCGGGGGTTTAGCGACATGATTAATGATCGGGATCGATCTATGATCGCGAATTCGAATCTCACTCGGAACAAATGAATCGATAAACACGCTACCATTTTCTTTTTTCTACGTTCTGCAGCTGTCTCTGTGCAATCTTTACATAGTTTATAGTAAGAATGATTGGTGTTTATGTCTTTATCTATAATGTTTGTTTATTTTAACGATCTCTCGATTGACCTGTCATAGTTGTTTAACTGTTATATGAACGAAGCCATTTCTGGATGCTCATATTTATTATTACTTCTTATTCGGTGGCTGGCCACAAATATCGATGTGTAAGACATATTACGATTATATATTTTTATAATAATTATAGTAATCTATGAAGTTCCATTGTTTCAATTCGCTATTCAATTTGTGTAATCGAAAATAAACGAAAGCAAATTCGTGAAATGTTTGAAGTTTTTATTAAGAGATCCTTTGTATTAGTGTTGTGTTTAGTTGAAGATGAAAACTATTTTGATTTTGTATATTTTTTTTGTTACATTATAAACGGCATACTTCTTTTTAAAGACGAGTGTTTTGAAGATCGCGAACTTTTGCTAGGGATGTTAATTTGCCTTTTGAAGTAGAATGAAATGAACGAATGAATTAAATATTATCATGCATAATATAAATAAAAATGGTGGGATAAAATATGGATAACGAGTAGTGCTCGTCACACATGGAACGTCAATAATGTATGAAGTGTAAAATATTTCTATTTTTAATTTGTATGGTAAGTAATGTCAATGTTTTTTGTTGATTCCGAAAAACATGTTTAAAAGTAGAATAGTGCAGTACTATTAGACTCCTTAAACTAGATTTTCGATGATATAATTATTAGATAATTGAATTTCAACTTGAAAAAGTAGCAGATGAATTATTATATTTGATAAATCTTGTGTTCACAATGCAATATAAATATTTAACTCATACAAAAATACTTAAAATATTCAATCGACAGACAGACAGGATTCTAAGTTTTCGTAAACCTCAGTTTGAACCCGCCATTGAATCTAACAGTTGTATGTTTGAGGAGTCTTAGTTGAGTGTCTTCACATTTATTTTTTATAATAATAGTTGTTTTATTAGAATAAGAGACAACAGTTTGCAATTTATTGAATTAAACTTACAAAAAGTACTTGAAAAACTTAACCTGAAACAAAAAAAAAAACATTTTTTTGTTCTAAATTTTGCGCATTGTGAGTGTGAAATTAATCAAATGTAATATTTTGCCGAACTACGAATTTTCATACAATACTTTATTCATAAATTACGTCACACGTACATCACGCTTCGATCTCCTTTCCGTTTTTGTTACAATTCCGTCAAAATGAAGCCTTGAATGATTTGTCAGACTGTCAGATCATTCAAGGCTTTGTTTTGACAGATCAATCTGGGCTTCAGTCAGTAGAGCCGCTGCTGTTCATATTTATTACACTCTCCACTCTAGTGTGACATATATGTACACATATTGAATTTTTACTATAATATACCAGATATTGAATTAAAAGAGCATCTTTGAAGTTAGGTTTATTCATATTATGTTTAATAGAATCACAGAGCATTTACATATTTGAAAAAAAGTTTGATTTCAAGTAGCTCAAAGTTTGTGTTTTATGTTGTTTTTCGTCGGCGAAGATGCGTGACGTAATTTATGGATGATTTCCTAGGACATTTAATGAGGATGTATTTAAAAAAAGCATTTTTGGTAATCAAATTAATATTATTTTCATTAGCACCGTGTCGACATATTCGACACGGTGCTCCGACACACTTGTGTCAAATACAATGTGTCGATGTCGTTTTGTAGCAAATGTTATACAATATACTAATACTCTTTGGCTACATTTTTTTTTAGTAGGTTTTTGTTTGAATACTGCCTCATTAAGCGCGGAAATTGTCCGTTATTAGTGTATGTTAGTGGGTGGGTGAGTGAGTGAGGTGTTATGGTTCGCAGACACGAGGGCTTGGGGGGGTTCTACAAGGGGCTGAAGCCGAGCCTCGTGCGCGTGGTGCCCGCCACCATGATCACCTTCCTCACGTACGAGAACGTGTCCCACTACCTGCTGCACCGCGCCAGGGAAGCCACGCTCTCCACGTAGATTAATCTACACACCCCGTTAGCAGTGGCGGACTAACCCCGTCGGGGGCCCGCGGCATCAGGCTCGGACCTACAACTTTTTCCCACCGAGCCAGAAACTGCTATTACGTCTTCTAAAACTACGAAACTTGACATAAGAAAGATACAGCTGTACAACCCCAATTCATGATTCAGGGAACTTGCAGCCATTTGAAAGCCACCAAGACAGCCCTCCGCCTTCCTTAGTCCGCCACTTCTTCGCCGAATCTCAACTACTTGCATTGTGGCATAGTACGATGTACTTAAAGTCCAATATCATTATATATATGTAATAATTGATATTAAACTTAAGGTAGATAGTACAATGGCAAAATGAAAGCAGTCGAAATTCTATTGAGATGCGATTATTACGTTAACATTAGGAATTGGCGTGCAGCACACGTCGAACGACCAACAAGAGAACGTTTAGTCCATATCCAAACGCCACTTTTCTCGGGTGCGTCGATACAACATCTGTCAACAGAGTGACATTTTGAATAGACAGCGATTCTCGAGTTTGTCTTGCTACGCGTGCTCTACGACGACGCGATGGGCTTCGATTTGGCTGACATCGGATTGAATCAAAATGCACTCGACGTACATTATTGTATTGTTAGATTCGTTTTGATGGAATCCATTATCAACCAAATCGAAGACAATGTTAAACGATATGCCTGCAGGGTATAACAAAGACAAAAAAAAAACCAATTTAACAAATACAAGTGGCATAGTATCGAGCTCCGGCTCGGCTCCTTATGTATCGAGTAGTAACATATTTTTCCAAAACTAGTATGACCTACTATTCTTACATGTATAAAAGCCTAGTCAAAAAGACCGGTTTTCCATAAATTATGAACTTAACTGTTTTTTTATAATGCCCGGCGTTACATCGTTTGGTTGAGCTCGTTAGCTGTAGGTACCCCACTCAGAAACAGGTATTTATTATTAAAATATTCTCTTTTATTCCAGTTCTATCAGTTATAGAACTTAATTCTTAATAAACAAAAATCATAATCTATTGGAAAAATTAAGTTCTTTTATGTGTTGCCAGCTACACCGACCTCACGGACACCGTGATATTTATAAGGGACTGTCGCCTAATAAGGCCCACTATTTTTAACCGCTGGAATGCAAAAAACCAACTTGCTTAACATCACAATAACAGTCCCACACTGATAGATTCTTAAAGACGAAATAATGTATTTATCGGATGGTTTTTAACTATTATAAAGGTCAAAAACTGTGGGCCTTATTAGGCGACAGTACATTATTCATTAAGGCTGCGTTAAAAAATAGAAATTATAGCATTAACCCTAGGTGAAATCCACAACCAACGAGAATGCTAGAAATAGATGGTATATTGCTCAAAATGTAATCCTAAAAATAATTTTAATTAATAACTCGCAGACATAACAATTATTCTAAAATTTTTCAATCCCATCTCTTGACTACAAATTGAGTCACACAAGTCCATTTAAAGCACAGTTATTTGTATGGTGCACGGAAATGTCACAGATGTGGACCAAATGTAAAAGTACCGGTGCAAGATATGACTGCGAAACCGATATGGAATTTAATATAAAATATCACAAGACAGCTTATTCTTAAAATTTACTATTAATCAATGATAAATATTATCTTATTTTTTTTAAATCACAATGTTTTAGGCTATTTATAAACTTAGCTGTTAAATTAAGACTTAGAGTTAGTGATTTATTTGGTTTCTTTGTTTTAGTATCGGGTATCACCCGTTTGAAGACGATAAATGTTCGTCGCCTTCGTCTAACTATGCCACTGCATCCGACACAGAAGAAAATATCTGTGCAAATTATGATGTCATCAACAATTAATGAATTGACGTTTATGATTTGATTGTGACCAAGAACGGATTTTTATGTTTAAAATATCTTGTGATGGTGGTCTCTCAAAGAACGTAGAAGATTCCTCTGTCCTTATCATTCTTTCGGTGAAAATACCATATCCATCCCTGAGAGATACTCGTGGTACATCACTTCGACTGAGAAGTAATAAAGTGTGACCCACACGGTTGCAAACCAGCGTTCCAACAGAAGTGACTTCGCTTATTACCAACCGTCTATACGGCAGATGTAATACAATGATTCCAATCCGTGTTTGGAAACCTAAGTTCCCACCAAAGTCACCTTTGTTGGAACGATGGTTTACAATCGCGTATATTACAAATGAAAATATATTTAAAGGACACGTTTGTGAGCGATTTGAATTTTGCCCTTATCGAACTGTCTTAAATACTGCGCTCGAGTCTTAAGTCCTTTGCAGTAAAGTTGACTTTGATTAGTACTTAGCTATTTATGAATAGCAAAATATGTGTAGGCACGCTTCATGTGACACTTTCGAGCGCTATTCGTGTATGATTTTGATCTTTAGTTTTTTAAACAAAGGTCTATTATATTCTTGGCGTAAGTATATAAATATTGATATGGACATTAGGACTGATCGGTTCTATAAACGTTAAAAAGAGATTATTTAAAGCATATTTACTTTAATTTTAATTTATCATTCATTAAGTATGAGTTATGTGTTGATTTAGTTAAGTTTTTTGACGTTAAGGTGTTACAGATTTATTCCATGTGTTAACCAAGTCCTTGAATGTATAAATGTATGCTTCTGTAAAACCTGTAGAATATGTTGAAATGTGTAAAATTTGTGAGCGTAGGCTGTGCTATTCTATGTTCCTGGTTTTTTTATATATGTAATTCTAAGTAAGTTTATGATGATTTTGAACATAACACCTAATAGAATAAAGCGTCAAGTAAATATGAAATATTTGTGTCATTTCATAAACTGATGCTGCAGCACACAACACTGAGTTACTGAACGAATTAAAGTCAGGTGTATGTAGTCCTAGAGTCTATACTACAGTGAATATTAGTAATAGAAAGGTGTGTTTTTATTTATCATACAACATTCAACAAGATTTACTCCACAGTCTTGAAACGTGTAATTAATGCGAAGCGCCAATCCGCAAATATAACGTTATAATCAATTTTAATTGAAATACCATTGGGATACTAGTTAGTTAGTTATGTAAGCGTTTTTAAATTACGTTTAATATCAAACAAACTTATTTCATTAGGTGTCCGGAAACTGGGACCGCATAAATTCGAATCACGGTCCCAGTTGCCGGATTGGTGTAATTTTATTTTCTTCTTCCAGTATTGGGAATATCCATACATGAATAAAAATCTATTGCTCAATCCAAAACCAGCACGCGTAGCATGACGAACGCGACAACGTTTTGTCTACACTCAAATGTCACTTTTCTCGGGTGCGCCCATGCTATATGTCACTCTCGAACCAAGAAACTGACAAATGAGTGTAGACAAAGCGTTTCTCGAGTTTGTTATGCTACGCGTGCAGTACCGACAAATGAAAAAAACGCTAAACGTAAAATAAACAGATTTGATAGTAGGTTATTATAGATTATTTTATTAATTTGTACATGTTACACGTCACTGAAAGAAGAACAAAAAATTGAATCATTCCGGCAACTGGGACCGCGGTTCTAGTTAATACCTCATTTCGTTAGAAAACAGTTTGTTACGAGTTGAGCAATATGTGTTAATATTGTGTAACGTAGGCCTAGGTTTACGTATGAATATATAATATCCAGGTTATCCAAAACTCAAATGTTTTTTTAATTGATTTTGAATCTTATAAAAATGGGCTTCTAATTGTAAAAAGTTAATGTTCGGCGTTTTGTGATAACCTGTCACGCTACTGTATGTACAAAGTATCGTATTTGATTCCATACTATGTTGGTTATTATTAGTTTAAGTTTTAATATAGTTTTATTTAGGAGAAATTATGTTCCTTTGTTTGATTTTAAAAACTATGTTCCCGCAGTGACGTAATACGTAGACTTAATTATGGGCACAGTTTAGATATTATCTTACTATAGAAAGTTTGTTTGTTTTATTTTTAAACGACAAGGTAGAACCCTCCTCGCGCGGATTGGTTTCTTATATTTAGTATGAAAGTGATATATTCGCCCCGCCTTGCGTGGCGAGCAAATGTATGGAAACGTGGCGTCACACGGCGTTGGCTAAATGTAACTGACGCTTTAGGTTAGTGGTGGTACTAAAATTTAAATTAGATGACGTCACCATAGCCTTCAAATTTATTGCATTTGTGCTATGCTATGTACATTACAACTGTTCTGCAGTGCCATTCTGTTATTAAAATAGCCTAGAATTCGATGAGGAGCACAGCGCTGTCAGGATTCGATCAAATAAAACTTATTTGAAAAGGTAATAAATGTTCAATTTCATTGAATCCCTTGCAGCGTCGAATTCTTTAGTAGCATAGTAAAATTGTTACCTATTACATATAAATTCTCGTATTTTTACTATGATGGGGGTACGAACCCGATACATAGTAGGTACCATTAGAACTCCCCATGTAAATGACCCGACCACTTATTTATTTCAAAATTCGAAGCACCATTAAATAGTCGGAAGCACAAATCACAGAAGGTTTAATAGTTTATTTTTTTTAAAATATTAATTTATTTTGGTACAGCAACAGAAAACAAATCAAGATCACATGCTTACAATTAGGTATAATAAATTAATTCCACGCTTATTTGCCTTCCTATAACTGCTGCAATGCAAGTTCAATGATAATAGAAAATCAAATCAAAAAAATTGCATAATTATTGAGAAATTAAGAAAAAGAAAATGTAATCAAAATTATTATTATCATCATAATTTAGACCTGCATATTCTTATGAAGGAATGATAGGAGAGTGAAAATATATCCAAATCGTCGCATATATTATAATTTTCTATATAGGTATTGTAAATTTAAATACTGTGTACTAACTGTACAGTTCAAATATCTGTTTCCGCTTTGAACTTGAACTTTTCTTATCTATAGTCGGCGAGATTATTACATGTATCAAAATGTATAAAGTTAGACTAGGTATCAGTATAAAAATACTTTGCCGATAACGATAACATGTCACATTGTGACAGTGAGCCCTTGAACTTAAACTACGAATGGAGTAGTCGGATAGATTGATAATAGACTTGTGATATGAATGAATATTGGTTATGGCGACCCGGAACTTTTTGGATGTGACCTTTTTTCGATTGCAAAGTTGCATTATACTGTGAAGCATTATAAAAAAGAAATTAATGTGTGGTCTTGGTAAAATATGCTGTTGATTTAGAGTAAGTACGAGTGTGTGATACCACAGGTAACCTGTTACCTAAATACGGATACGCATACTCGCAGCAACTCTAAGCTAACTGTGAGCTAACCTGACACTGTTCTCTGCGAAACAGCTGAATTTATTTTGATGAAATTAATTCTGGTACTTCCCTGAAGTTCTATCACGAAAACGGAATATTATAATCCGACTATTATGTTGGTTATTTTTGTGATTTAGGGGAAGGGAGGGCAAGATGGAAGGAGTTACACATAACCGAGTGTTATTTAAGAACGATATTTAGTATGATCCGCACCAGCCAGTAAAACATTACATGAACATCAGATTTCTCTGTTTTGATTGCTTAAGATAGGTAAGTAACAAATATGACTGTTTTGCTTTGAAAGTAAATATATACTAGAAATCGAGTGTACAGATTGTAGGAGTGGACATTTGAAAGTGAAAGTTAAAGCAATGAACAAAAATACTACTTTGAATACAAAAGGGAGATAAGGAAGTGGTTAACAGAGAAATGTATAGAAATAATAATAATACAGTTTCCCGAAGAAAAATACGAAAAATCAGCTAATTAGATCGCTTAAGATGTCTGTAAGCTAGAAAATGGTTGTATTTTAAGTAATAATTGCAAAACTAAAATTTGTCTTATATATTCCAAATTGCTTTTAACCTTTCCAAAGAATTTATCAGGGTTTTACATTACATGTTATAACACGTTATTGACTAGAATATGGTTATTGTTAATAGAACAATTTAAATATGAGACTTACGCCAAATTACATTTCTATTAGGTAATTACTACACAAAGTTAGCCCTTCCATCTTGCCCTCCTTTCCCCTATGGTTCAGAAATAAGCTGTACCTGATAATGATAAAATTTGACGTCTAACGTCTTTCAAATATCGTATTCAGTTTACATAATTAAGGTCCTGAATTTACATTTAGATCCGGTAGACAACCCGTACTATTAAGAGTACCTACTCGTGTCATGATTATATTTTGTCATCACAGTAATTTTTATTGGCGATTTAAACCAAATTAGTTAATAGTTTGTTACTTAAAATGTATTTAAAATTACTTTATCGAAGGATTACGTTTTTTTTTGTTTTTAATAAAGTGACCATTGAGAAAATAATTTGTTTTTTTTTAAACTACTTATTTGTTGTAATTTTTATATATATTCACAGAACAGAACTTCGTACAATGACTCCAAATCGGTTTTTTTCATTATGAGGAGTATTCCGCCTCCTTGAAGGTTAGACTTTTTCACGTTATAAACAGCAAGATTTAAAAAAAAGTAGGTGAATAGGTGTGCTGTATCTAAATTGAACTTAAAATTTGTAAAAATAATCTAGTTAATCTTAATCAGTAAAGAAAAAGCTAAGGTATTTACAAGAATTGTCACAGCATGACAAATTATGTGGTCGCACTATAGGGTACCCAACTTTGCCCCACCCTGAATCTATACCTGTCAGTATACCTATCAGTATTACGAAACTAAATAATGTTTAATATAATTCAATTATAAATCGAAATTTTAGTTAGTATCTCCAAATCCTCGAAGGTTATTATTGAAATAAGATTCTTTAATAAAAACATATTTTACATTAACTTTTTTTTATCTATACTCCATTAATTATAGCATTAGACAGAAGTGAAATAAGGTTCTTTTTATGGTAGGTATACTTTGTGACAAAATATCCATAATTATGTTACTTTTAAGACTGACGGCTATTAGTCAGACTATAATTTAGTCAGACTATTATTTATTCATTACTAGTGGACGCCCGCGACTTCGTCCGCGTGGAAGTCGGTATCCCGTGGGAGTGAGAAGTTTTCCCAGTAAAAAGTACCCTATGTGTTATTCTGATGTATAACCTATATTGCTGTAAAGTTTTATCCAAATCCGTCCAGTAGTTTTTTCGTGAAAGAGTAACAAACATCCATACATCCATACTTACAAACTTTCGCCTTTATAATATTAATAGGATGCCGGTACAGGCCCGAGTGGCCTACAAAAATTACGAGTTTTTCTAATGTCTTCATCAATAGTCTAACTTATTACACTTACAATTAGAATTTATCAAAACACAGATAGTTTCAGTTTTAGTTCCATGTTGGCTTAAGACTAAAAGATGAATTTATAAAATGCTGGCCTCATCTCAACCCCGAGGTATCATAAAAAATGGAAAATTGCCCAGCTCTTTCAGACTACCTTACGTTCAAAGTTTCAACAAAACTAATTTAGATTTTTTAAATTTATCTTGAAAATAAAATGTTCTGCACTGCTGCTTCTATGACCCTCTTTTTTCTAATGTTATAGTGAATGGAGTATAGTGTATTAGAAAATGCTACCTATCCATCCAGAAGTCAATAACGATACGATAGGTTCTAATGCATCTATGTAAATGCACTGATTTAGCTTCTCATATCTAATTTTGACGCTAAATTAAATACTAACTTTATTATAGTAACTAGTAAAACAATTATTTTTATTTTAAAGAATTAAAAAGTATATTTTTCATTCTAAAACTCCATAGAATCATTATTTTTTCAAATTGACGCAAGTTAGTAGCATAATAGTGTCACAAAAGTACGTAAATTGTATACTTACTAATCAAACATGTAAAACGACGATAAAAATCGGAATAGGTATTCACAAACGTTATCAAAGTAGCTACTGACGCGCAGATCATGTGTACTGTGGTGCGCATCGCCGCAGTTAGCTCCCGTGGATCTGCATACCCACCGGCCATTGTACCAGTGCTACCGACGAAGAAGCATTCCATCAGCTGCAGGAAACAACACGTCTATAAGAAAATTCAAAATTTGAATATGGTGAGCCTTTTTTATTTTTAAATATTCATTTTTTATTTATTCACAATAGCGGTATCAGTATGATAACAACGTATGTTTTGTAAATTCCTCAGAGTCTCGTAGATGGCGTTAGTGTAGTCACGCGGTATGTTTGTTTACCCTTCTTTTTTTTATAAATGCCATATTTACTAAAGGATTTGTGTTAGGTTTCTTCTCACCAAGAAGGTTCGGCGATACTTCTTGTGAATCTGCGTGAGTCTGTTCGGCCTATTAAACAAGAGTACTTCCTTACTTAATTCCGTTCCATAGTACGTTTGTACTTTTTAGAGTTCGTGAATATTATGTCTACCTACCGATCGTAGCAGTTAAAGCTATTGACCTAGGACGGGGAAGTAGTTAGTAGCTGGTAGAATAATGTCTGATTCATCGCTTACGAAGCCTTCTCAACATGTTGATCTAACATGTAGTAGGTATGTAATATGAAATTGTATGGATTCGCTTAACACCTACACTTTTCATGACATGAATGTTGTTAGAATTTCTGTCGAATTTATAACTTAAGAACGCCTAAAAGGGTATTACATTAAAACTAGAATTATAAATATACAAAACTTTATAGTTAAATATTATTCTTAGATTTTGTTAGGTTCCTGTCTTATTATTAACTCTTTTTATTGTGAAAAAGATATCTATTATTAGAATAAATAATAAAAATGGATAGTTTTCTAGGTTACTATAAATGTTTTCCTATTTGTCTAACACCACCTATAGTTTTTGGAAATTAATTTATTGGGTAGCTGATAATATTATTTTCCGTTTAACAAGCTGCTTAACTAAACTTTTAAGCAGCTTGTTAAACCTAGCTATTAATATCCTAATAATATTTAAACCTGTCCATAACTTGTCAAAAATAATCTCACACCTTTGGTAGGTAGGTACCGCACTACCTACTACAGAAATCTTAAAACTGATATGGGATAAATAAAATGGAAACTGAAATTACTTTTTGAATTATTTTTTTATAGAAATTTTAATACAATTTTGTAATAAGTCAAGCGAATCCGTAAGTCGGTAGCGAATTAACATTTACAAATTCTCCCCTATTAGGAATCATTTATGCAGGAATGCCGATATTACATATTAGGAATTATACTTATTCCTTATTCGGTTAATTTCTTTGGTGTTTTATTTTACTTATTAGATTATTAATATATGTAGTTAATAATCTAATAAGTAAAGAATATATTGACACAATTAATGATAATGTTAACACTAGCTGCTACTGGCCGAACTACATATGTATGTAGTTACTAAAGTGTGGAAAATACCACAAGTGGCCGAACCTCCTAGATTAGTGGATATCTATCTGCAATAACAGTGACTGAACCCTTTTTGCAATACTTAGGTATACTGATAATGATTTAAGTCAGCGTTTTATAAGAACACCTGCCTATGCGCATTTGGAAATTAAGCACAATTTGAAGCAACTGGGGAATGCAAACTCGCGAGATTGGGACTCGGGCGAGATCTCGCGAGTTTATGAATATCAATATCGCGAGATCTCGCGAGATTGGAAAAAAAATTGAATAAAATGGGGAAAAGTATAGCAATTATAGGTATTATGAAATAAACATTTATTTATGTATTTAACTTTGTTTGACGCAATTATATTTTTTTACATTAAGTATGCAAGGGCTTTCAGAGGTGATAAATCGATTTAGTTAGGTTGTTTTTTTTTTATAAATGTGCCGAGTAAAGCTTAGTCATCCAGGTACTAATCTTTTATAAACTAAACTTTGACGTATCTAATCAAATACGAAATGAAATAAATAACCAGTCTTCTCTGCTAATATAAAAAAGAAACGTTTAATTATAATACACAGTTTTTTATTTTACTTTTTGTATTTTGAATTGACTATTAAACTGAGATTATTATCAATGAAAGAAAACTATCTGTATCCAGAGATCTGTTAGAAATTAGGCAACAAATTATCAAAATATACCAATCAATTTAAAGTTCACTTCACACGTTATTATTACGAATAATTTTGAAAGTAGCTTCTTAAGAAGCACAAAATGTCATAAGAATCTTTGCTATTCGTCTTATTATTGTACTGGCTGGCCAGATAACCAGCCACTGAGAAGACCCTTTTTAAAATACAAGTACTGTAAAAGACTAAACTTCACCTTTCAAACCCCCGGACTCTCTAAATTCACGCTGCCGCACTTTGAATAAATAATTTTTATGCTCGAGTGCAATCTCGTTAAACTCGCGAGATCTCGCCCATTTTTCGACCGAGATCAATCACGCTAAAAAGGCAGACATCTTGCGAGAACGAGATTGCATTCCTTAGAAGCAACCGTGCTATTCCTAAATAAAGTATAAATGTACGCACTGTGGCAATAAAATTAAAGTAAAAATTTAGGGCGGTTATTTGTATTACTAAAATATAAATTAATAAACCCATAATTATTATTTTTGATCAATTTTGCATTCATAATTCCATACTGATAAAATATTCATAATGAATAATGCTTAAAAAATCTACTTTGTCCCTGGCACTCTGAGATGGGACTCGGAACCCAAAATCTTTCGCAATCCGGGCGACTGCTCTAACCAATGAACTACGCAGGACCTAACAGGACTGCATTTCAGCCACGTGGGATCGCCTTTCATTTGTCCACTTTTTATTCTTACACTAGCTGTTGTCCCGCGATTTTAGATTTTTTTCTTACATAGAGGTGAAAGGGGGTCCTATATGAAATTATGCGGCCCCATGCCACATACCCGTGGACCTACGTTACCGCGGATTACAGTTTCAAATCACAAAACACTGGCATAAGATATTATTTACAAGTTGAACTCGGACACATTTGCAAGGCTTTTGTTTATATAGGTGGTGTCCTTTTTTAGTTATTTTTAATTCAGTTTAGTAGCACAAAGAAAATGAAATTGTTTTGTCAACAAAACAATTCTAAAAAAAAGTCGATATAAGGTAAAAAAAATGGAGATGAACACGCCGCAAATATTATTCTACTAATAAGCGCAGCTTAAACGAGAAAACTACAAAAATGACGATTGTTTTCTGTGATTATTTTTTAATTAAAAAGTAATAATTTTCGAATCATCTTATTGCGCTATTGGAGGGAAAGCCACAACAAATCTAGATCTTGCTCCGCCATTACCACAATTAAGCATGCTCATGTTTTAGTAAGTAGATAAGTACTAGGTAAGATATTATTTTGAATCAATTATTTAAGTATAGGTACCCAAGTATAACATTTATTCTTAGACACTTTTATCTTCACGAGTCGGTATATACAATGTTCAAATACGCTTTACTCCAGTGCGTTGCGTAGATAAGTGAACTTGTGCTTTACATTATTATTGATCATTTAATCAAATACTTAAATATACTTAAAAAAAATTAAGTGGCATTACGTTTGCCATCATTTTGCCTTAAAAGTATCGTACTGTGTTTTTTCTTAACTTATGGTTTATGAAAACATTCTGTAGTGAATTGTAACATGATAAAAAAGTTAAATAAACAAAGCGTCCAGGAGCATCTACTGAAACAAGAAAAGCTTCTTGAATTCAGAAACAAGTCCGAGTACAGTGGTATTATGCCTAATAAGAATGGACGGTGGTTATCTCAGGTGAGTTTAATGCTTTAACCAACTTTTTATAAAAGTTTTTTAAGGCCCAGAAACGACATTAGATCTTTATTTAAAGGACGTGGAATAAAGTTTTGCTTTAGCTCTATAAGAACTTTATAAAGAAGAACTATCAAACTTATAAATTATATTACATCCGAATTTTCTTCAAGCATAAAAGTATCGATAAACTAAAGCTTTATAACCAACCATACTTGGAACATTTATAGGTATAGGTAGGTAAGCAGAGATTTTATCTGTAAAGTAGGTCTTACGTAGTTTAATTAACAGTCTGCTACTAACTGTACGATTTGCTACGCAATTGCGTGTAAATTATACAGGCAACCCAAACGTCACATTGTACAAACCTATCTGATATCTCCATTTGATTTTAAACCTTAATGAAGAGAGAGTAGAGATCAAAATCAACTGCGGTTTAACATACTAAACTTGACGTGCTTTTTAGAGTACAATGGTCACTAAAAAATGATCTTTGATGCAATAAATTCTCGTGTGTTGTGTGTGGGTCCACGTGTTCTTAATTTATATTTCATCTTCGATATCAGATCTCTGACTTGGGGCTGCAGTTTCGATAGAGATTGCGATCACAATCTTATCGAAATCGGGCGCTAATTCATAGCGATCGTAATGTAACGATTATTGCAAGTCTCTACAGCTAAGTAAATTGTTATTTGTTAGGCACGTCCCGAGTGCAATTGTTAAATTAACGGTATCCATTAGTATCCTAGCGATCAAATTTGACAAATCGGTCAGTGAACTCAGCGATCGCTACTTAACGATCATAAACTCTGTTGAGACTGCAGCCCCAGATCGACTACGGTCTACGACACTACTTCATAAAAAAGAGACTACTAAAATTAGTGCCACTCGATGGCGGTACAACGTTCGGAATATTTCTAACAATTCCCGACACAAAAATATGTATAAATCAAAACGATTAAAGAGCCAAATGTGACAGTTTGTGTTGATTTATTAATACCTATTAATCGCCCAAATGTTATATTCTTATTTTTTTTTAAATATATGTCTTGTAGATAAGTATTTTTTTATTATTTTTTGTAGTATAGTTTTATTTTTTATATGTATTAATTTCTGCATATGGACTTTAACTTAACTTTCGTGCCGGATATTTTAAATTTTTAAAGAAATCAAAAATAACGGCCCAAATATATATATTTTTAGGCTTTTAGGCTTTTTATTAGATACTTATATAAAAAACACAAAGAGCTGATCAATATGAAGATAACTTGTTAATAATTACCGGAATACAATTTACTTTCTTTACATGAGAAAAAAAATTGGAACTCGTGTCATTGATAAAAATTGGTTTGATGGTAAGTTCGACC